TTTCTTGAAGGTTAATTGTGAATAAAATCAAGAAAATGCACCAAAATATTGTAGACAACAAATATCAAATCTGCGTTTATAAACCAGTGTTTGACTGGTGTGTTTTTTACAGAGGGACTGGAACCAGTTCATCATTTATCAGCCAAGCTAAACAGAAGGTGGGTGTCCAGATTTAGAAACAGGTTTTTATAAATGATTTTAAATTAACATTTTTAGACATTTAGTCTCATTTTTTTTGTCTAAAAAGAAAAAAGTCTTACCTGCAAAAACAGAACTCCTTAAAAGAAGGTAATTATAATCATGTTTTCTTGTTTTGTGTCCTTTTGCAGGGTAATTTCTGATTTCTATAAAATGATTTATAAATGTGTTAAACGCTAACAGGAAGTCCTGCTGACTGAACTAGTTAGTGATGAATAAGAACACACGTTTCAATCTAAAACAGCTCAGAAGTAAAAATAAAAACAAAAGCAGATTTTTTTTCTTTTTTTAACATTTTTAAAATCTGTTCTTTCCCTCAAGAATAATGAAGATCCTTCCTGTTTTCCTGCTGCTGCTGCTGCTGCAAGTTTGGGCTTTGGAGTCTTCAGAGGAAACCAGCAGCTCTGACCCAGAAATGCCTCCTGCAGTAGAACGCTATAAGAAATTTATATGGCAGCACATAGATCCATCCATGAAAGCTACAAGTTGTGATTTAGTGATCAAACAGAGGGAAATCTACTACTCGAACGGCTGTAAGAGGATCAACTCCTTCATTCTTGCCGATGAAAAACAGGTCAAAGCCATCTGTCAGGGTCAGGGAAATTACGATGAAAGGTCCAAGCTGACCTCCAGTAAAGCAAAGTTCGATATTGTTGCTTGTAACCTGAAGAAACGAGTCCGGAAACCTAGCTGTCACTACACAGGGAGGCTTTTGACTCACAGAGGCGTTGTAGTGAAATGTGACGGAGGTTTGCCTGTTCACTATGACCATGACTTTTAAATGTGATCGCTCTCCAAAACCACAGTTATTCACATGTAAAAGTTCATGCTTTATGTTTTTGTATCCATGTTCAGCTGTTCACCTGCATGTTTCACACAAATAAACCTGCTAAGGCCCAGTGGCGTGTCCAGATCTTTTAAAATGGGGTGGCCCAGGTGAGGCACTACTTTGTGCATGGGTGGCACCAATGGTTATGCATTTATTATGTTGTTACCCCAAGCCTTTTGTGGACAATGAAAAGCCTATTTAAAGGGAATTCAGTGTGGTGGCACCTGGGGTGGCCAGTCAGATTCCAAGGGTGGCATTTGCTGCAACGAATTTGAGGAAGTTACTGAAGCCGTGCGCAGGACGCAGCTTCCTGGAGTGCATGAACAATCAGCGCTCTCCATCTCCTCTGCTCAGAAGAAGTCCCTGTATGCTGAGAGTCCACTTAAATAATGGAATATAGGTAGAAAGCAGTGGCGCCCCCAGAAAAATTTCATAGGGGTGGCCAGATGGGGCAAGAGAAAATGTTGGGGGTGGCACACCAGATTGGTCCGTGTGGTGTCTCTGGATGAGTTTAGCCTGTGGTGATGCATTTTATGCTCCTTTATTCTTTTTAATTAAAAACACAATATGCACACTTACCTCCAGCGCCGGCGCTCCGCACACGCACACCACGCATAGCGCGTAGGGCACCACGCCAGGGGAGGGGCACCAAACGCAAGCTTATGAAAAAAATAATATATATATATGATGAAGACAGATTTCAATTAGAAGATGTGCAAAGCAAGTTAACAGCATGTTTACAGAGAGAAAAAAATACAAAAAGTAAAGGAGATGGACCGTGTCCACTTTTCACTCCGTCCGGGCGTCCGGACTTGGGGTTCTTGTGAAAATTTCCGGCATTTCATCCAGGAGCAGGGATCGAATTATGGGGGAGCTGTATATCCTGCACATCCAGGGGAGCCGGAAAAAAGTTTTCTACCTATATTACATCATTTATGGACTCTTTTGAGCAGAGAGCACAGACCACGACCGTTGTTGCGCAGCGATCCAGGCTGCTGCTTCCAGCGCACGGTCCATTCTCAAAGTGGCGCAACCAAAAAACTATAATTAACACACGATCGGTCTTGTCCGCACATGTTCTCTACTTTCTGTCTTATTTGTGCCCGAAGCGCTTTGCTACTGCGGAGCTCATCACCTGTGCTGCGGTGATTTCACCTCACTGACGCAGCATCGAAACGCGCTCTCCACTTTGCGGTCAGGAGATCCCTTTGATCTGCTCAGAAGTAACTGATGAGGTGAAAAAGTAAGAATCAGGCAGCAGGTTTTCTGGAGAGTTTAGAGGAGATGCAGGAAGATGAGAGACAGACAGGACAGGAAAATAGTTGAATAAAAACAAGAAAACAAAACAAAGTGTTGAAAAGTAAAATCTCCACTACACGCTTTTACCTGTTTAAAACAATAAGTTACACACATGAAATATTTATACATCTAATACAATTCAAATCACCTTCAAAACTCAGTCACACACCCAGGGCCGTTTCAAGACATTTTGGGGGCCAGAGCAAAATGCCCCCCCCCCCCCCCCCACACACACACACACACACACACACCACCACCACCACCACCCCATAACTGGGCTCCCCAAGCCTCTGTGTTATTCATACCCTCTCCAGTAGTGTTAGTTATACAGTGTTTATAAAAGCCCCTCAGACATTACTGACATGTTCTAATATTATCAGATGAAAAACTAAATTATCAGACATGCTGTCTCATCTGCTTCTTTTCTAAACTTGCAAAAAGTAACAAAACCATTTGAAAGCCACTATTTGTGGATTCTCTGAAAGTTTCCATGGAGTGTGGGACAACTTATTTTTTCATTGATCCTATCGTCTAATCTCACAGCTGAAACAAGCATCCTTGATAATCTGTGCAGGGGAAGCGTACCGATGCTGTAGTAAAACAAAAGTTATAATTTATTATTAACAAAACCTTGTTGCAGCACTAAAGCGGAAAAATGAGATTTTGCATTAAATATGCTAAGTATTTATTGTTTTAGAGCACTTTTATTGGCAGAATCTGACATTAATTTAGTTCTTACAAAAAATGGGTCCCAACATGGTTTGTGTGGCGTTGCCATAGTGTGACGTCATAGGCACAGATCCCCTGTCCTCTTGTTTGGAAATGGAAATATGATCACCCTGTATTAAACAAACTGTCCACCCGGGCTTTTGCGCTGCACAGAGACGCTTCGCTGCCTATGACTTTGAACGTCAGTTGAGAGTCAGTCTCATGCAGACTGACCAATGAAGAGAGGGCCTCAAGTTAAGACTCTCTCCTCATTGGTCAGTCCACACAAGGTGGGTCAAAGGTTACCCTGAGCGGGTTACGTGAAGTCAGGCATTCAAGTATTGAGTATATTTACTGCATATTACAGTAATATATTCTGTATGTGACCATATTATGGTGATCCTTGGGTCGTGATGATGGGGCCCTTGAATATTGTTGCCCAGGGTACAACGAAGTCTTAATCTGGCCCTGCCCTTGATATAAATAAACGTGTGACCTGTGTCAAACGAACGGTGTGCTTGCCCTTTAGCGGTAACAACACAGGTTTTGTGGTCATTTGACAGGATGTAAAAATATTTTTGACAAAAGTTTTACGAGCAAAATAAAAAGACAAGAAAACATGCAGTCAAATCTTTTTCTACACAACTGAGGCCCTGTCCACATGTAGCCGGGTTTAAAAAAAAACCGAATATCCCCCCCTCCAAAAACTTGCATCCACACCACCTCGCTTTAAAAAAAAACTCTGTCCACACGTACCCGGATAAATACGTTGTTATGGACATGCCAGACCTGTAGGCGGCAGTACTTACCCTGTTCTTAACCTCGTCCTTCATCTGTGGTCTTCCGCAAGGAGCAGTAATTCCGCTTGCAAAACCAAACAAGCAAAAAGCGCTTGGACAATTGATAAAGCGAGCGCAGCTCTGAGGGCGTCCATGCTGTCGGCTAGTGTAAACACAGCTCGCACACGTGATGTCAGCATTTTTTTTGTAGCGGAAAGTGACGTTGCGGACCTTAAAACTCCGGTTTTGTCTGTCCACACGCAGACACCCAAAACGGAGAAAACGCAGATCTTCACTTTGGCCGGAGTTTTTAAAAAGATCCGTTTTCATGTGAAAAAACTCCGTTTTCGTGTGAATGACGGGCCAAAATGTAGAAAAATATCTGCGTTTTGGCAGATCCCCGGCTACGTGTGGACAGGGCCTGAATTACGCGTTTGGGCGGCGTGATAAAAGCTCAGCGTTCACGTAAACAGAGGAAACACCAGATGAGGCGAGGATGAGGAACGAGTGTCCTAGTTATTAAATGTCCTGATGAATTAAATCTGACATCAGAGCGGTTGTGTTTCAGGTTACTAGCTTGTAAGGAGCAGGTAAACTTTTTCACATTCCACAGCTATGACCTATGAAATGTTTAAATTCAACCTGATCGTTTATTTAACGCCTGCGGTTTGGTGGTTCAGCTTCCTTTCGTCTAAACTGCATCAACACCTTTGCTTTGTGGTCAGACATGTTTGACTCTTCCCCTCGTTCTCAGGAGGAGTGGGTCGCTGTCTGAAGGTCAGACGCTTTTTTCAAAGTAAAGTTATTTCAGAAATCACACCAAGCTGTACGAACCAAAGAGAGAACACGCGTGTCCTTTCTGCTGTTCAACCAAGAAGGTACAATTTTATTTTTTACACATCACTGCAATGTTTTAAATCCATACTAGGATTTTTCTGGCTTTTCAAAATAAAATTAGTTCTGCAATCATTTTGATTTATGATAAAACCAAAGAGACGTGTTATAAAACCACAGAAGAGGGGTTTTCTACTTAGAGATGTTTTTCTTGAAGGTTAATTGTGAATAAAATCAAGAAAATGCACCAAAATATTGTAGACAACAAATATCAAATCTGCGTTTATAAACCAGTGTTTGACTGGTGTGTTTTTTATAGAGGGACTGGAACCAGTTCATCATTTATAAGCCAAGCTAAACAGAAGGTGGGTGTCCAGATTTAGAAACAGGTTTTTATAAATGATTTTAAATTAACATTTTTAGACATTTAGTCTCATTTTTTTTGTCTAAAAAGAAAAAAGTCTTACCTGCAAAAACAGAACTCCTTAAAAGAAGGTAATTATAATCATGTTTTCTTGTTTTGTGTCCTTTTGCAGGGTAATTTCTGATTTCTATAAAATGATTTATAAATGTGTTAAACGCTAACAGGAAGTCCTGCTGACTGAACTAGTTAGTGATGAATAAGAACACACGTTTCAATCTAAAACAGCTCAGAAGTAAAAATAAAACAAACAAAAGCAGATTTTTTTTTCTTTTTTTAACGTTTTTAAAATCTGTTCTTTCCCTCAAGAATAATGAAGATCCTTCCTGTTTTCCTGCTGCTGCTGCTGCTGCAAGTTTGGGCTTTGGAGTCTTCAGAGGAAACCAGCAGCTCTGACCCAGAAATGCCTCCTGCAGTAGAACGCTATAAGAAATTTATATGGCAGCACATAGATCCATCCATGACAGCTACAAGTTGTGATTTAGTGATCAAAAAGAGGGAAATCTACTACTCGAACGGCTGTAAGAGGATCAACTCCTTCATTCTTGCCGATGAAAAACAGGTCAAAGCCATCTGTCAGGGTCAGGGAAATTACGATGAAAGGTCCAAGCTGACCTCCAGTAAAGCAAAGTTCCGTATTGTTGCTTGTAACCTGAAGAAACGAGTCCGGAAACCTAGCTGTCACTACACAGGGAGGCTTTTGACTCACAGAGGCGTTGTAGTGAAATGTGACGGAGGTTTGCCTGTTCACTATGACCATGACTTTTAAATGTGATCGCTCTCCAAAACCACAGTTATTCACATGTAAAAGTTCATGCTTTATGTTTTTGTATCCGTGTTCAGCTGTTCACCTGCATGTTTCACACAAATAAACCTGCTAAGGCCCAGTGGTGTGTCCAGATCTTTTAAAATGGGGTGGCCCAGGTGAGGCACTACTTTGTGCATGGGTGGCACCAATGGTTATGCATTTATTATGTTGTTACCCCAAGTCTTTTGTGGACAATGAAAAGCCTATTTAAAGGGAATTCAGTGTGGTGGCACCTGGGGTGGCCAGTCAGATTCCAAGGGTGGCATTTGCTGCAACGAATTTGAGAAAGTTACTGAAGCCGTGCGCAGGACGCAGCTTCCTGGAGTGCATGAACAATCAGCGCTCTCCATCTCCTCTGCTCAGAAGAAGTCCCTGTATGCTGAGAGTCCATTTAAATAATGGAATATAGGTAGAAAGCAGTGGCGCCCCCAGAAAAATTTCACAGGGGTGGCCAGATGGGGCAAGAGAAAATGTTGGGGGTGGCACACCAGGTTGGTTCGTGTGGTGTCTCTGGATGAGTTTAGCCTGTGGTGATGCATTTTATGCTCCTTTTTTTTTTTTTTATTAAAAACACAATATGCATTCAACACACTTACCTCAAATTTAAAGAACACAACTTTTCACTAAAACATCTATAAAAACTATAGAGATTTAAACTTTCATTTAGAAAATGTTGCGCGGGAGAAACATGTATACTTTTTTAAAATCAGATTATTTATTTATTCTTTAATTGTATATTTTATTGGTTTTTTTCATTTATGTCTGATAAAATAATATTGTGTGGACATTAATATGATTCATCAAAGAACATTGGTCTTCTCTGGCGTGGCCAGCATTTTCTAGGGGTGGCCGATGTGGATCGGATGGCAGACCAAGGCGAGAGTCTTGGCGGTCCAATCCCCGGACAAGAAAACTGGCTTTTGGTACATGGAACGTCACCTCGCTGGTGGGGAAGGAGCAGGAGCTTGTGGCAGAGGTTGAGCGGTACCGGCTAGATATAGTCGGACTCACCTCAACACATAGCATTGGCTCTGGAACCCAAGTCCTTAAGAGGGGTTGGACAATCTCCTTTGCTGGAGTTGCTCCGGGTGAGAGGCGGAAGGCTGGGGTTGGCTTTTTGTTAGCCCCAAGACTCTCTGCCTGTGTGTTGGGGTTTACCCTGGAGGACGAGAGGGTAGCTTCGCTGCGCCTTCGGGTCGGGGAACGGGTTCTGACTGTTGTTTGTGATCATGGGCCAAATATCAGTTCAGAGTACCCACCCTTTTTGGAGTCCCTGGGACGAGTGCTAGATAGTGCTCCATCAGGGGACTCCATAGTCCTGCTGGGGGACTTCAATGCTCACGTGGGCAATGACAGCTTGACCTGGAGGGGTGTGATTGGGAGGAATGGCCCACCTGATCTGAACTCGAGTGGTGTTTCGTTATTGGACTTCTGTGCAAGCCACAGTTTGGCCATAACGAACAACATGTTCGAACATAAGGATGCCCATCAGTACACTTGGTACCAGGGCAGCCTAGGTCGCAGGTCGATGATAGACTTTGTAGTCGTATTATCTGACCTGCGGCCGTATGTTTTGGACACCCGAGTGAAGAGAGGAGCGGAGCTGTCAACTGATCACCACCTGGTAGTGAGTTGGATCAGATGGCAGGGGAAGATGCAGCGTAGACCTGGCAGACCCAAACGCATAGTGAGGGTCTGCTGGGAATGCCTGACAGAATAACCTATTAAGACAGTCTTCAACTCCCACCTACGGCAGAGCTTTGACCACGTCCCGAGAGCAGTGGGGGACATTGACTCCGAGTGGGCCTTGTTCCACTCTGTGATTGTTGAGGCGGCTGTTGCTAGCTGTGGTCGCAAGGTGGCCGGTGCCAGTCGTGGTGGCAACCCCCGTACCCACTGGTGGACACAGGGGTTTGGGGAGCCGTCAGGCTGAAGAAGGAGGCCTACAGGGTGTGGCTGGTCTGTGGGTCTCCGGAGGCAGCAGAGCCAAGCGGGGTGCAGCAGTGGCAGTTGCCGAGGCAAAATCTCGGGCGTGGGAGGAGTTTGGTGAGGCCATGGAGAAAGACTATCTATCGGCTCCAAAGAGGTTCTGGCAAACTGTCCGGCGCCTCAGGAGAGGAAGGCAGCAACTCGCTCACACTGTTTACAGTGGGGATGGGGAGCTGCTGATGTCAACTGGTGCTATAGTCGGATGGTGGAAGGAATACTTTGAGGAGCTCCTCAATCCCACCTATGCGCATTCCGAGGAGGAACCAGAGCCGGGAGACCTGGAGATGGACTGTCCAATCTCTTTGGCAGAAGTTGATGAGGTAGTCAAACAACTACATAGCAGCGGAGCCCTGGGGACGGATGAGGTTCGTCCTGGGTATCTAGAGGCTATGGATGTTGTAGGGCTGTCATGGTTGACATGTCTCTGCAACATTGCGTGGTCATCGGGGGCAGTTCCTGTGGAGTGGCAGACTGGGGTGGTGGTCCCCATCTTTAAGAAGGGTGACCTGAGGGTCTGTTCCAACTATAGGGGGATCACACTCCTCAGCCTCCCTGGAAAGGTCTACTCCAAGGTACTGAAGAGGAGGGTCCGATTGATTGTTGAATCTCAGATTGAGGAGGAGCAATGTGGTCTTCGTCCTGGCCGTGGAACTGTGGACCAGCTCTACACCCTTGCAAGGGCGATGGAGGGGGCATTGGAGTTTGCCCAACCAATCCACATGTGTTTTGTGGATTTGGAGAAGGCTTATGACCATGTCCCCAGGGGCACCCTGTGGGGGACGCTCCACAAAGTTGGACTCCGCCAGGGCTGCCCTTTGTCACCAGTTCTGTTCATTACCTTTATGGACAGAATTTCTAGGCGCAGCTGTGGTGTGGAGTGTGTCGAGTTTGGTGGCAGGAGAATCTCGTCTCTGCTTTTTGCGGACGATGTGGTCCTCCTAGCTTCATCCAGCTCTGACCTTCAGCTCTTGCTGGGTAGGTTCGCGGCTGGGATGAGGATCAGCACCTCCAAATCTGAGACCATGGTTCCCAACCGGAAAAGGGTGGCTTGCCAACTCCAGGTCGGGAGAGAGGTCCTACCTCAAGTGGAGGAGTTTAAGTATCTTGGGGTCTTGTTCACGATTGACGGTGGGAGGGATCGGGAGATCGACAGACGGATTGGTTCGGCATCTGCAGTGATGCGGACGCTGAGCCGATCTGTCACGGTGACGAGGGAGCTGAGCCAGAAAGCCAGGCTCTCGATTTACCGGTCGATCTACGTCCCAATCCTCACCTATGGTCATGAGCTTTGACAGAAAGAACGAGATCGCGGATACAAGCGGCCGAAATGAGTTTCCTCCATAGGGTGGCCGGGCTCAGCCTTAGAGATAGGGTGAGGAGCTCGGACATTCGGGAGGGACTCGGAGTGGAGCCGCTGCTCCTCCAAATTGAAAGGAGCCAGTTGAGGTGGTTTGGGCATCTGGTCAGGATGCCTCCTGGGCGCCTCCCCAGGAGGTGTTTCGGTCATGTCCTGCTGGCAGGAGGCCCCCGGGTTGACCCAGGACACGTTGGAGAGGTTACATCTCAAAATCTGGTCCGGGAACACCTTGGGGTCCTGCCGGAGGAGCTTGTGAAGAAGGCCAGGGAGAGGACGGTCTGGAGCTCCCTAGTTGGGATGCTGCCCCCGCGACCTGGACCCGGATAAGCGGAGGAAGACGACGATGAAGACGACGAACCTGGTCACCTCTTGAGGGCACCACTGGTAGAAAGTGGGTCTGCTTTTGGGCTTCCCCCAGCTCCCCCATAATTCTAACTCGGAAGTAAACCCACCACTTACATTACTGCGCTACAGAAAAATGCAATACATTATAGTTTTTTGTTACTTTTGAAAAGCATTACTCCAACACTGGATGTCACGTGCAAACTGTCAATAGGGAGCTTAAGACCCTCCAGGTCAGTGGCTGTTCAATGGTTAGTTCAAGTCAATTTATTAATGACTGTTTTACAGACAAATATCAAAAATTGTAGGCACAGGCTACTACTTCTGGATCAATTTTATACAAATTGATTCATTAATTATCTTCTGTTGAAAGATAACGTTGACGTACATGAGCGAACAGTTTTGGTAGCTGTCACGTGTTGTGATTGGCTTAAGCAGCTCTCAGCTGTCTTAGGGTGGGCCCAAGTGCAAGTAAAGCAATCACAATTGTCATCCCATAGAAGTTGTGTTTCAGTGCGCCCGCATTAGCTTACTGGTATGTGTGTGTATGTGTCGGTATGCATGTCCTGGTTGAAGGAAAGAAACGATGTATAAAAAGTGTATAACATCTGTAACTTATATAGAGGACACACACACACACACACAAAGACTGCGAGGCGATGTCTTGCTAGGCCAGGCGCCTTGCTTACGAGGACACTGTCCTTCCTTGGTCAAAGACAATGGTTAAATGGAACAGACTTGCATCACGTGACCGCGGCTTCCATGTAACATCACATGACACGGGAGATAACGTTATATTTTATACGTATTAGTTACAATATAAATATGTAATGAGGCTTTTATTTTTTAAATTGTGTATATATTTATTAAATTAAAAATATGAGTTACTACCCGCTAACCACCGAAGCTGCAACTACTAAGCAACTAACCAACCATAAATAACTTCTTTGGATCTAAAAAGAAACATTTTAAATTAGTTGACCTACTTTTAAACTTGAAAATTGTCCCCAAAGTAGCTGCCGGCTTCTGATCCACCGTCCTTTTGAAAATACCGCAGTGTACAGTATTCTGGGTAATTTCTGACCAAGGCTAGGCTACAAGACACCTCCTGTGTATCCTTGCTCAGCTAGCTAAACGGCTAACAAACGGAGAACACATGCCTCGGTAGAACATAAACATCGGAACACGTCTTGGCAGCTCCCGATGACGTATCTCCTAGGCAACTGGGGCGGGGCAAAGACATCAAGGCAAGGTTCCTTGGCATTGAGAAACACCCTGGGATACTCTGCAAGGTGACTGTCGCCTTTCAGCTGCAATCCAAGCAAGCTGACGAGACTTTGTTTATGTTGGATTTGGTCTCCGTGGTTATGCCTCCAAGCAGGAAAACTGTGAAAAGTTACCCCGTTTTCCATGTTTTTTTCCCAGGCTATGCACTGCACAGCACAGCAACGATTTACCAGGGTCGAGTAATAATCGATCTAATGATTAATAAATTAAATGAAGCTGCAAGACCAAGACTGAGTGTGCTGTTGTCTGAAGTAACAAGCAACATGTAAGGACTCGGAGGATATCAACTTGGCGGCACAATCCCAAGCCCTATTGAGGAGTGCTTCCATCTGTCAACAGGATGAGTTTCTACTAAAAGAACCAAAATGATTCCACTGTTACATCACTAAGCCAGAAAGAAAACGATTGGTCACAGCTGGTCCTGTGAGGCATCATTTTGTCTTAAATAATTTATCATTTCCTTGTTCCATCTTGTTCCTCTTAGCTTCTACTCAGTCCATCCGAATTTTGTTTCTAAATGATTATTTTTAAGTCATTCATACCATTTTTTAAAAATCGCATTTGTTCAACTGAACTTTCATAAATTAATAAAAGAACGTTGTCAATGTTGAGACCTCACAGAGAAATGTGTGAAAAACAAATAAAAAAATAAATAAAATAAAAAAAACAATGGCCTGCCTCAAAGACAGGTCCATAAGTAACTTCTACTTCACGTTTCACTTTTTTGCAAATTGTGACACATTCGCATTATTTATCTAATTGTATATTTTAAATGTGTCAAATATTTTTTAACTTGGAATAGGATATTAAATACAGGGTACAATTAGGAATACAATTAAATTATTTTATTGCATATATAGCTGATTGTCATGTTGTGAGGTAAGTGTCTAACCCACGACATACAGAATCAGTTCTTAGACAAGGGCGAAGTTTAAATAATAATTTATTAAAGGAGAAACTAAAGGAGCAGCATAAGTCGCTGAGTTCTTCCGACAGGGATCTGGTGCGGGAATCTGCAGACAGAGGCAGTTTAGGTCCAGCTCAGAAAAACAACTGAGGGTTTGTGGGTTGAGAGGACTTAAGGTTGGTTTATGCTTGACGCGTCCGCGAGGTCCACACGGCTCCGCGCGGAAAAGTTGCGTCATTTTAACAACCACGCCCCTCCACCGCGCCTCTGCACGGCCCAAACTTTCCGCACCGCGCACCTAGGAAATTTTCTAACCACGCAGACGTGGAAAAACATGGCGGACTGGCAAGAACTAGTATGGCCGAGGTTCGTAAATACAGACATTTGGGGTTTGTCCTTTTTACTGTACAGCACCTTGGTCAGCTGTCATGCTGTTTTTAAGTGTGCTACAGTATATAAATAAACGTGGTATGGTATGGTAATGTATGAAAGGCTTGATTAAGTGATATCACTCAACTGGAGAACAAGAGCCAATAACTAAGTATGAAAAATAACATTTTTTTTAACCATATGTTGCAAAAATGTGAACCTTAATGGACTGCTTATATCGGAGATTTTTTATAAAGTCCGATATAATCTGATACAGTGTTTTTGGGCTCATATTGAATTACTTTCGATATTGATATCGGAACGGGACATCCTTAATTGGAGCCTCATCCTATCTGTCCATGTCAGACACATGACCTGCCCCTCAACCACGTCCCCCTGGCGCCATTTTGGGTATATGACTCACATTGCTAGGGGAAGCCGCAGCCGAAGTTGAAGCAGCACAAAAGAGTCATCAGGATGGATAAAAAGTTAAAGGACGAACGCATCTTTTACAGGGAAAAACTTGTGAAGGATCGGTATTTTCAGAAATTGTTTACAATCGTCGACGTAGATCCCTACGACCTCAAAGGAAACAAACGGAGCTCAGATGTTTCATTACTGCTGAAAAGATATCACTTGAGTAAGTGTAATACTACTTCAACATATTAATAATCTATAATTAATAATTAATAATAAAATAATAATAATAATTAATAATAAAAGTAAACGCAAAAAGTAGCCGTACAAAAACATTACTCCACTAACACAAGCGCTGAGTCAGGTTTTCTTTTTTGGATGGGCCTTAATTAAACAACTTAATTTCTATAAGTCAATACAAGCAGGTACAGAAACACCTTCATACAGAGGTCACATTTATGTTGTCTTTTTGACTGACAGAGTTTTAAAAAATCAGTCTTGATCGTTTTCCTCGTCATTTTCATTTCTCAAATAATAATACATAAAACATTTCACCTCCGTTGCCCGAACGCACTCTCTCCTGCTCTGAATAGGCCACTTGCTTGTGCATGATCAAATGTCTCTACAAGGGCTTGCTCAAGAGAAAACAGTGCCTGATACCATCACCTGACAAAGATCGATGGCCCCATTGACTTGCATTCATTTTTTTCCTTCTTTTGGTGACCCATGGTCCAAAAGCAGATGGGCGTGACTTAGGAGTGAGCACCACCTCACCCCTGCCATGTGGTCCTCAAGGGATAAACCATCAATCCTGCTCAATGGTCAACTTTCCTCATGGGGTCACCCATAAAGACAGTGGGAGGGTTAATGAGCTAGATCCAGCGTCAACCTGATGTGACAGTGCGAGCGTCCTGTCACAATGTCCCGATAGATCATGCGCCCTGGCTATTTGGCCAAGGGGATGTCCCTTTGGCTGACTGGTTAGAGCGTATGACTCTCACCCTTGAGTCTGGGGATCGAATCCCGCCCGGGCCCTCGTTTATCCACCTTGCCACACTATATTACACTATATTGACTCCAAGCGTATCAGGACTTATTCTGAGCGGAGGGGAAGGAGAGTGCTGATTGCTCACGCAGTCAGGCAGGTGCGTCCTGTGCACGGCCAAAGTAAATTCTCAAAGTGATGCCATCAAAAGAATATAATTAACACAATCAGTCATGTGTGCTCATTTTTCTGGTATTTTTTTCACACTTGACACGCTTTGCCTCAGCCAAGCTCAATCCTGTGCAGTGGTGACTGCCTCTCTGCTGCTGCTATTTGCTACTTTTGCGGCAATTACAACAATTTGATATTTATTAGGGATATAAGAAGATATTGATAGACATTCACACGCTGGTGGGGATGAGCTACAATGTAGCTACAGCTGCTGACAGCAAATCCACATCTACCATTAGAGCAAGCCTCTGATTGGTGGGTAGAATCAGCCCACATGGGCATAAGCCAAGGATGTGTGGAATCAACCGGGCCAGGCTGAGGCCGACTGGGGCTACCCGGCCCGGGCCGACCCGGTACTGATGGGAATGGCCCTCAAGTGTCTTGTCCAAGGACACAATGCAGGTTCAAGCCCTGCTCAGTTTGTCGCTGTCGCCCTACCAATTATGGGGTGAGCACTTAACTCCAGTGCCACAGTTTGTGTATTTTTTTTCTTTTGGTGCAATTCTAATGCCGACCACTAGTTTACAGCAGTGTGCATTGGATTGTTTCCACCATTAAAATGTGAATCCCTCTATTACTGTTCAGATACCTGTTAACATGCTACATATCAGTTTGGACTGTTTGTTGAATTTTCCTACAATAAATTTTGTCTAAAAAACCGCTAATAATAGCTAGCTGAATGTATTGCAATATAAAGTGGTATATTGTATCGTCTCCCCTGCATCGTGATATGTCTTGTATTACCAGAATTGCACCAATACACATCCCTAATATTTATTTATTGGATACAATTCGGATCACCTTCAAAACTCAGTCCCACGTCCAGCGGTTTTAAGGCATTTGGGGCTGTAATGTCCAGCAATGGTCAGTTTAGGTACAGTTTGACCATTCAACATCTGGTCAAAAAGGAGACAGCTCTGAACACAGATAATGAATTGTCAACAATAACATTCTCTCCTCAAGGTCCAATCTTTCAGGATTCTTCATGCCTCCATATAAGGAACACTCGCAGCCCGGATTAGTTGCTAAATCAAAGAATGATTTCCTAAATCAGATATGAACTTCTACAACGTATAAGCTAGATAATCATTAAATAAATGTTTGTTTATTGCTACTTATAATTATAATATAATGAAATGTTTTATTAATCGGTGCTCAATGATTGAAGTTGGAAATGAATGTTATGTTATTATTATAGTGATTAAAATATGTTTCAGCATGTTTATATGACAAGGTCATCACCATTTGCACTCACACAAGAAATTAAGGTTAAGTTAAACTCATGACACATAAATTGTCCTTTTCCCCAGATCAGAGCGTCCGGTATCAAGGAAGGCGTGTTTCTGAGATTCTTGGTAATATTCCTCAAACTTGTCAACCTCTGGTTGGCTACACAAATCATAACATGAGAACATTAAAACCAGATTACTCTGGTGATTCCTCAGTTCTAGAGAAAGCTTCAGGCCAGCCATCTGAAGCAAACCCCTCTTGAACCCATCAAAGCTTTTGACACGTCAAAACCTTTTTGCACCTGCAAAGCTGACATAGCAAACAGATCCTGCAGAATAAGCTGATATTGTTTCGAATCCTTAAAGAGTCCCAGAGGTGCGGTTCCATCCATCTGTCATGACCCGAGACATCTCTGGACTGAAGAGTCGGTGCCAAGGTGTTCTACAGCCCTTCGGTGCCAGAGGTCAGCCGACCTCTCTGACCTTCGGATCCACCAAGAGGGTCTCCGAAAACGGTTGAAGCAGACACACAGATAGCATCTGATGTGTTTTGATAATAATCAACTTCATAGCTTAATGTTTATGTTTATTATGTTTATTCAATTAGCAGACGCTTTTACCCAAAGCGACTTACAATTTCTAACCTGTAGGGCATGTTGTTAAAGCAAACCAAATTCTTTTGCATCCAGAACTCAGCTCTCCTAGAGACGGAAGTTCTGACTAACACCACATTCACACATAGGTTCATACATCACATCTAGTTCCATCCATCACAGTAAATGTTTAGTTAACTTGAAATGTTTTAATTGTTGGTAAAATAAATTCTTACTTTTATAAATCTGACTCTTTTCTGAATCAAAACGAAGTGTGTACAATCCCCTGATAAAGCAAGAACCCTTGAATCTTCTGATAAACACACAAAGACCAAGCAGGGTTGATATTTAGATAGAGTATCACAGCTTATTGGTCAAAAGTAGAGGTAATATATATTGAGCTCTTAAAGCACTCAATTTACCAAACCCTACAGGGCCAAAACAAAATAGACTTTTTATTAGAGGTGCTGAAAAAAATCGATTCAAGTCTGAATCGGGATTCTTATTTATGAAGATTCAGAATCGATTCCAGGAACTGAAATATTTGGCATGTTACAGGTTTGAGATGTACTTTTTTGATCTTTGTTAGGAGAGCCAGTACTCCGTTTACTTTTGTGGTCCCATAAATTGAGATGATTTATGTTTGAATCTGCTGATAAGAGGGCACTTGAATGTAATTTTTTCCATACTCAGAAATTTTAGATATTCTCATATTTATTTTCTAAGTTGATAACTGAGTACTCAGGATTACTCATGTAACTTGTTTCTACACATACTTGAAAAGTATTTGACCGAATTACTTTCAAAGCTACTGTTAGGTAACTACAGATTTGTTATATTTTATAAGGTAAGCAAAAATAAATGTTGCCTTTTGGTCAAAAGATTGTTTCTGTTTACAGTTTTAGAATCACTTTATTTTACATTGTAAATCTGCGTTTTTGGAGCACGACCAGTTTAAAGTCAAATAAAAATGTCCCATAGCTTTAACTAACTTGTACAACAAAGTAGTTCATCCTGGAGCTGACACTCTTTTTTAATACTGATTGTGAATCGATTTAAATTGAGAATCGATTCTGAATCGAATCGGCACCCCGAGAATCAGAATCGAATCAAATCGTGAGTTGCTCTAAGATTCACATCCCTACTTTTTATACTTTAGTAGTTAAATGAGTTATTTCTGTCTTGAATGGATCATCATGTGTTTGGTTAAACGAGACTGTTTGCAAAAATTCTGTCCACAGAACCCACAGGAAAAAGGCTTCTGTCCTGTGTGGACTCTCATGTGATTGCTTAAGGTGTCCTTTCGGTTAAATCTTCGTCCACAAAGCCCACAAGCAAAATCCTTGTGTCCTTTGTGGTCTCTCACATGTCTGTTTAAATGTGTCTTTCGGGCATATCTTCGTCCACAGAGCTCACAAGCAAAAGGCTTCTGTCCTGTGTGGACACTTAAGTGGCAGTTTAAATCCTTATTTAGGCTAAATCTGTGTCCACAGAGCTCACAGGCAAAAGGCTTCTGTCCTGTGTGGATTCTCATGTGGTCATTTAAATGTGTCTTTCGGTTAAATTGTCGTCCACAGAGCTCACAGGCAAAAGGCTTCTGTCCTGCGTGGATTGTCATGTGTTTGTTTAAATTTGTCTTTTCACTAAATCTTTGTCCACAGAGCTCACAAGCATAAGGTTTATGTCCTGTGTGGACTCTCATGTGGCTGATTAAATATGATTTTGTCTTAAATCTTTTTCCACAGTCATCACAACTAAATGATTTTTGTTCTTTCCGGACTTTCCTGCATGAGTCCACATGTTGCTTCATTTTGACACATTTCTTCCTAACCAAAGAACCTGAAGACCTTATTTCTGAATGACTTGTTAGTCTCACATGTCTCTGGAGAGACCCCTTGTAAAGATAACTTTTACCACACTCAAGGCAGCTAAATGATTTGTTGATAGTCTTAACATCTGACTCAGAAGGCTTGCTGTCATCCCAGTCACTGTCTTCGTCTCCATTTTCCGGCCCAGATTCAGTCAGGTCAGAGTCTAGGTTCACATCATCATCTTCTTCATCATCTCCACTGACTTCAGTCTCTGAAGAATCAGATGTCTGTTCATTTGGGTTTACATCTGGGTTTATGCTAGTTTCTGCTTTCATCTGGTCACCTGAGCCACTGGTTGGAACACCTCGCTCTTCTATTTGCTGCTGATGAAGCTGTGAGAACTGAGGTTTCCCTTCATCATCCTCATTCTTTATGGAAACTGCAGTGCATGGAAACCTGGGAGCATCAGTCTCCTCTTTCAAATGGAGCTGGTCTCCCTCCAGATTGGTCCAGAGTTCCTCCTTTATGTGGAGGTGTCCTGGGTCCTTCTGGGCCACACCAGCACTCTGTTCTTCGGGAGCTTCTTCTTTAACCAGCACCATCTGTTGATCATCTATAGGAAACACAGAAAAACCTGATGTGAATCACAAGACTGTTGTAACTTTTTATCCACACATATAACAGTTGTATTGATGCTTTAGGTTGGTGGGATTAGAACCGATTCAGAAAACAGCAAATCACCTTAGAACCACGTTACTTGCAAATTCAAAGAACAAGCCAGCACACGCTGCGATTTCTCTCAACCTTACGGTTGTTTCACTCATCCAAGGGCCTGGTGCTAGATGTCACAAAGTGCGGGGTGGCACGGATACAGGCTAAGGTGAGGGTATCTGCTGCTGCTACACTCTCAATCTTCAGCTTCAACCAAGCCTCCACAATGCGGGTCTGAAATTGAGGCCAACGCGGAAGTGAAATAAATTGCAGTTCCACCCTCATCCACTAGGGGCTGGTGTCAGAAGCGAGCAAATCCTCATTGACTCCCATGTTAAAAATACCAATTTCACTGCAGAAATAAACATGTTTACAGCCTGGTTCCAAAACATGTTTTTGGTTTAAATGATCTAGTTTACACTCATGACAACTCTGAGGGGGGTGAATTTTCTTCTCACTCTTCTGTTTAAGTGTATTAAAAGCCTAAAATTCTGTATAATTAATGAGCATCCGACCCACATGACCAGAGAGCTAGCTCCGTGGAAAGGCCTCAGTAGAGCCTCGGTCTCGCCTGAAAACTGTTCTGCGATTTTTAGTCTCTGAAATTAGACCATTAGTTGTAGCGTTTGTACATTCTTTTTTGGATATTATTTGTGCAAATGTTGGACAAAATGACTTGCTGTGGTATTAATTGGACTATTAGAGCATCCAAGGAGTCTCCACTTCATTTTATTCCGGTACGTAAAATTACATTTATGTATTTTAGGTCACTGCCGCTTTTGCACTAGCTGAGCTTATCAAAGTAGCTAGCTAACTATGATTTTAACATGTACTGTTTAACCATGACATTTAGATGTAATACGGTAAAATAATTAATAGGGTATATGTCGATGGGTAAAACCTAAAACCCAGTGCATTTAACATAAAAATGGGTTGAAATATGACATGTTGGTGGAGCTCTCAGAAGGAGACTTCTGTGTTCATTCTAGGGTTTATGTTTATGTTTATGTATTTAGCAGACGCTTTTGTCCAAAGCGACTTACAAGTGATAATCGGCATTTTGCCCTTGAGGCTAACAACAATAGTAACAACAACAAATTGACATCAGTCATGGAGAGGAGGGAACAAGGAGTGGACAGTAGAGAGGGGGGACGGGTGCAGGTAGGGTGCTAGTTAAGAAGATGCTCTCTGAAGAGCAGGGTCTTCAGGAGTTTCTTGAAAATAGAAAAGGAAGCCGCAGTTCTGGTAGTGCTTGGAAGGTCATTCCACATTTGTGGAACGATGCATGAGAAAAGTCTGGATTGTCCTGAGCGTGGTGTAGGCACTGCTAGCCGACGATCCTGTGATGACCGGAGCGGCCGGGCCGAGACGTAAGCCTTTGCAAGAGGATTCAGGTAGATGGGAGCCGTACCATCTCGGACATTGTATGCTAGTTTTAGCAATTTGAATTTGATGCGTGCTGCTAGCGGTAGCCAGTGGAGCTCAATGAACAGAGGGGTGACGTGTGCTCTTTTAGGCTGATTGAAGACCAGACGCGCCGCTGCGTTCTGGACCATTTGAAGAGGTCTCACAGTACAGCCTGGAAGACCAGTTAGAAGAGCATTGCAGTAGTCGAGGCGGGAGATGACAGTAGATTGCACCAGGAGCTGGGTGGCATGTTGTGTTAGGTATGGTCTAGGGTTGTCACGATACTAAAATTTCAAACTCGATTCGATACTGGAAAAAAAAACTTGATACTCGTTTCGATACTATTTAAAAACACCAATTTATTGAACAAGTTTATTCAAAAAATAACATTCCTAAATTTATATTGCAAAAATTAAATGTTAAGAATTAAGTGTATAAAGTGCTTAAACCTTTCAAGTATCAGCATTTTTTAAAACGTGCATACAAAAACTGGCGAAAGTTAACACTTTAAATCATGAATTGCCTCACTATCAGTGTTGGGAATGTTACTTTAAAAAAGTAATTAGTTATAGTTACTGATTACTTTGTCAAAAAAGTAACTCAGTTACTAACTGAGTTACACGATCATAAAAGTAACTAATTACCAACAAAAGTAACTGCTTAGTTACTTTTTTCATTAAAGAATGCAAGAATTACTACAATAGTGAAATATAAATGACTAATGACTGAACATAATAAAATTTGTCCAAATGTTTTATATAAACCTGAATAATTTAAACAAATAAGCACTGAACAGGAGGAACTACTAACAGGAACATTACACTAATCTAGACTATTAAAAGGTCACTGTGTGATATTTAACAAGACCCCAATCAGCTAAAATTTAAAATTGCAAATAGAAACACCTGTAAAGGTTCCCGAGCCTTTAAATTGTCTCTCAGTCTAGTTAAATTACAGAAATAAATGTAATTTTGCACAGTATTCTAATTTTTCCAGCTTCACATAATTGTGTGTTTTAGCAGCATTTCTGTTGCTGCTAATCTAGTAACGGTTAAATAAATAAATAAATATCCTTTAAAATGACACTAGAAGAGGCACAAGCCTGATGGAGGACTCACATTTACTAACTTGGGTCAGACCCAACCACAGAAGAGCTGAAGCTGGGTGGTAAACACACACAGGTAGTTCTAATAACACCTGAGCTCCATGACGTCTGAGACTGATGCATCAGTGTTACAGCGGGACTAAAGACATGATCAGAAACAGGTTACAGCCGGATGATCTAGGAAGGCAGAAGATCAGGACGTCTGAGCGGTGAACAGGTGAGCGGACCTTCGGGACGTCCCGCTGTCACGCTAAGGGCACGGCTGCAGACCCGCAGATTTGCTGCTGCAGCAACAAATCTGCGGGGGGTCTGCAGCCGTAGACTATTCATCACGTCTTCCTCGTTCTTCACGGGCCGTGATGCTCTTAAACATCTGCCTCTATAGTTCCTGATCAGCTGATGACAGCTCCAACACACCGCGCAGCTTAACGCACGCATTTCCTTATCAGTAACAGAAATGACGTTTTGATAAAAGAAGACGTAATTAATTAGTTTGCTCGTTACAGAAAGAAATATTTTTATTAACGCGGTTATTTTAAACGGAGTTATTCCCGTTGTGTCTACAGAATGCAGCGACTGAGACCGTGAGGGTCTCCGCCCACCCGGCCAATCATCATCGTGTTTGTAAGTGCGTTACCGACACCTCTCTCTCCCTGGCTGCAGCTGAAGTGTGGCGGTCAGAAAGCCTCACGCTGTTACTCAACGTTCGACAAGCACATAGTAACGCACAACGTTCCGTCCCCAGTAACGGTAACGGCGTTGCAACGGCGGGAAAAGTAATTAATTAGATTATTCCGTTACCTATAAAAGAACGCCGTTAGAAACGCCGTTATACTTAAACGGCGTTACTCCCAACACTGCTCACTATATATACACTATTTGCAGAGTGATGTTTTGCTGCTTAAACTCTGTTTAAGGTGCATTTTTGTCATAAGATGTAATGCCATATGTTTTGTTCTGTACTTTTGAACAACTCTGTTGGTCAATAAAGGGAGAAAACGAATTTCTCCACAGTAGGACAAAGGTACATCTACCGGTAATCTTAATAAAAACAGATTGGCGCACGGCAGTGACGTCATTAAAAGCGCTGGTTAGATTAGCCGCGGCTAGTCTGTTCACGCCTAGAAATCCCAGACTCGCTCCAAACGAACAGGGGAATCACGTTAATGATTCCTAACAAAACCTTTCGACATGATGATGTTTTGGTGCAGATAATGTCTTATTTCGAGGCTGCACCATGGGTGCCCGTCCGCACCCGTTATATGGATATACACTGATGTCGGAGGCTTTCCCACTCTCAGCGTGGGAGTCCAGAGGGGAAAACTGTGTTTTAATTAAGTGATTTTAAATGATTGTTCGGTTGTAATTCCCCTTTTCTTTTGTGCAGGCAGGGACAGGGGGTGGTGGCGGTCCCGTTTGTGCATGTGCTGGGTTCCCTCACGTTACCGTGAATGTCACTATTGCCTGGGGTGACTTTATTATTTATTATATTATTGCACTTGTTTCTTTTTTTGGGATTCATCACCCCGTGTGTCATTCCCTCCTACAGCGAGTCTCAGTCCTGCAAGTTATTCCCTGTGTGTCCTGTTGTCTTGTTTTTAATCAAAGACATTTTTAACTATATATATATATATATATATATATATATATATATATATATATATATATATATATATATATATATATATATATATATATTAGGGCCGGGACTTTAACGCGTTAATTACGATTAATTAATTACAAAAAAATAACGCGTTAAAAAAAATTAACGCATTTAATCGCAGCTTGCATTTCAAGCACGGCGGAACCTTTGTCATTGCACGTTTTCCTCGTAGACCGAATATCACTGACGCACACAACAATGCACAGTGGCTAATGGCTACTAAAACGGAATAAAAATAGAAAGAAGTTGCCTTGCTTGGACTGATGCAGGATTTAGGAAACCCGTCTGCCTCTTTTCTTAACTTGGAAAAAAAAACTTCCAGACAACAACGGAGTCCGTGTCGCGGACATTTTTCAGAGATCGTCTCTGCTGCAGCTGCACCGGAAACTTTACAAAAGTTGCGGTAAGCTATATTTTTAACATTTACGTAACATCTGTGCAGCGCTGAAAGCACCAGACAGAATTATTCTTTGCCCTAACAGTAGTTTATGAAAGTAGTCAGACAAACGAGTGGCACCTGGCTGCCGCTGGGAGAACGCTCCGTGTTCTCCCTACTCTGTAAACAATCACAAACAACGTGTCTTAAAAACAGAAGTTTAAGTTAAAAAAAGAAACACTGAAACTTTTCTTATGATTTTCTAAACAATTCTGTCGGGGAATTCTATGTTTCTGAGACGAGTCGCTGTCTAAACATCACATGCATTACTATCAGGGGCAGTGAGGAACGAGGAAGTTGTGATCAGGCTGGAGATCACACCAGATTCGCTGCTGCAGGCATGAATCTGCGGGTCTGCAGCATCCCCTTCTTAACGTGACAGCAGGACTTCTCATGTAAGGAAGGTCCGCTCACCTGTTCGTCAGATCATTATTTCCTCGCATGATCTTTTATCTTCCCATCAACCTCCAGTCATCCAGCTGGAACCAGTTATTAGTGTTCCTGATCATTCTCAGAATATGTCACGCCTGCTCTGGTGTTAAAAGTTAGTACATTTAAGTCCTAGATCATATTTGTGCCTGTTCTACTGTCATTTTGAAGGATTATTATTTATATGTGTGTTTTTACTACATTATGAGCAGAAATGCTAATAAAATCTCCCAATTATACAAACAAGTGAAACTGGAAAAATTAGAATCTGGTGCAAAGTCAAATTTATTTCAGTCATTCATCTAGACAGTGAGACTATTTAGAGGTTCAGGAACCATTTGCAGGTGTTTTCTATTTGTAATTATAAATTTTAGTTAATTTGGGTTTTGTTTCATATCACACAGTGACATGTGAATAATTAAAATGCATTTTTTATTAAAAGCTTTAGTTTACAGTAATAACCATGTCTAATGTTTGATTCTCTGTCTCATAATTTTAATTAAAAGTTTTACTTTGAGAGCGCATTTTCTTGAACAATTAAAATGCAATTAATCGAGATTAATTAATTACAAAGCCTGTAATTAATTAGATTAATTTTTTTAATCAAGTCCCAGCCCTAATATATATATATATATATATATATATATATATATATATATATATATATATATATATATATATATATTTAGATTTTTTTAAATAAATCAATTTAACTTTTGGAACCACGTCTCATGCCTCATTTAGTGGAATGAACCTACTATGTGCTTTCTGATACTTCCTTGGGTGAAACTCCCAAGGTTGGCGTTGTTGACAACTGTTGGCTGCTCCCTGAACAAAGTGAAAGGTTACAGTGTGCTTGGAGCACGCCATATCTGTAGCTCCCTCGTGTATTGCCACAATAAGTAGGGCTGAATGACTTTAGGAAATGATTCTATTGCTATTTATCTATGAGAAATTGCGCTTTCAGTTTGATTCATGATTAAGTTTTTAAATAAGGTTTAACACATTCACAATAGTCAAAACATGCCACAAACATTAAAAGCTATTACTTTTCTCTCATTATTATCCTTTTTTTTAAGTTCAATCGTGCTTGTGAAGCAACTAGTGACTTTTATCTAGAGAGGCGCTTTATAAATGTTTTTGCCCTCGTGGGCTGCCATTTAACGGTGGGATTTCTGTGACCTCTGTCCGCCCTCGTTCCCTCCCATTGTTCTCAGGCTAACATTTAGTTACGCTCACGTCGTCTGTAGAAACAAAAATGTACATTTAAATCAACCTGAAAAACCTACCAGACATTTCCTTATGCAGTTCGGTGCAGAAAGTGAGTAGCGCATGCGCGGTGTTGTGGTTGACTTCTTTTGGTGTTATGGCGGCTGGAAAACAACTTTAGGTGTTTTAGCGCCACCTCCCGGTCTAGAGTGGTCACCGGAAAATCTCTGCTCTATTTTCCATTCAGCTTTATGCTTCTAGATCCAATAAACTACGGATAAAAACATGAATTTAACGGTAAATATGATTTCAAATAAATAAAAAAGAACGATTAAGAAACAAAGAACATGAAACTGTAACACAACAAACTATTTACTTTAGCTATACATTTTAAACAAATTACATCTTTATTTCTTTGTGACATTCAGGTTTCCTTAAAACACGTTTATTTTCTTGTAAATTAATAATTGAATGCCAACAAGACCACATTCATTGGTGCTGAATAAATGAGAAGAGATAACAAATGTTTTATTATTATTATTCCTGTAAAATTAGCTCTCTTAGTGGAACCAGGGTAGGAAAGTTCGTTAGAAATGATCTAGTTCAAAGTCAGGTTCGTACATTTTAAAATGTAGTACAGCTCATAGCTCAAAACTGAACTTCACAGCTCCAAAAATGAAGTAGTTCATAGAAAACTTGTTGTTTGAACCTTAAGAGGAATTATGTAACAATCAGAAGGAAGAACCAGGCGGAGTTAAGAAACAAGGATGTAAAAGAAGAAGATGTTTTCAATAAAATACAAGATAAATGTGATGAAAAACGCTAAATACTCTGAACTGAAGTAAAAAAATTCTAAAAACAGAAATAACGTCTTCCTGCTTTCCTATTGAATCTATTTATGTATTTTTGTATTGAATTTTTTGCCCATGAAAAGTTTTGCTTCAATAACTAAACAAAAAATCTCGCTTTGCTGCGTATTTTGTTGACAATATTAAAATAAGGTTGGAGGTTCATCCTTTCTATTTGTCTCTGGATCAGCTTGATTGTGTGTGTGTGTGTGTGTGTGTGTGCGTGCGCGCGCGCGCGCGTATGTGTGTATTTTGGTTTCCTGCCAGGTTGAGACTCACCAGAAAAAACCCCACTGAGTTCTGCAATGGTAAATAACTTCAAATGAATTGGTACAATTAAGTCTGAATCTGTGAAGTTTTAATTGGGACTCTCGTGTTCTCTGCTGCCATCTAGTGGACATAAAACACCCCACATTGTTGCCAGTTAAAAAACATTTCAATGAGCGGCTAAATAATAATAATGATCTGTACTTTCTCGCTTTTATAATCATTAATTCTTCTTCTCTTTATTTTATTTTGTTTGTCACGTTAACAGGAAAAAGTTTTTAAACAACAAAGATAACATCATGAATCTCAACCAAAAAAGGAATAGGCAGAAACAGTGCTTACTTTGGCCAACCCTAGTGCTATATTTTTAATTCATTATATACAATTTAAATATATTTCTTTCAAATAAATAAAACAAATCATTCATGTTTTACACATACTTTTCACATTATGCTTTAAATTTTGATGTAGAATTAAATTTCTTCAAGTCATCATTGAGCTCATTCCATAATTTCACACCAATAACAGAAATGCACCTTGGTTTAACATTTAAATGCTTAAAACATGAATCTTTATGCTTTTATTGTGAAAGTGGGCTGGTGTGTTTCCTGATCAATGTGGGCAACAGAAACCCACAGTGCCCTACAGATCGATCAGACGTAAACAAAGGCGCTAATCTAACTTAAATCGTTTCGTATCATAGTTGCTCAGTTACGTTTTTACCAGCAGTAAAAATGCAGGCTGGTAAAAAGGGTTCGGCTAAAAAGTCGAGGACCACCCCTGGGACTCCGGCTGGAAACAAGACCTTTGAGGCGGAGCTCATCAAAGCTCAGTTCCACGAGGTTTGTGAAGTTCCAAACTTATCCGTTTGATCTTTTTTAACACCGATATTCCCGTTCCCCTCAAATGGCTTCTGTTAGCTAAAAAAATTAAACAAAAAAATTAATAAAAGAAAAGAATTAAAGCTACACAGAGGAATTGTTAGTATTTCATTTAGAACGTACAAACGCGCAAACCGGAAGTGTATCATTAATTGCGCAGTTTCTAATTATCGCCATTTTTAAATGGGAAATAATCGATGTAAACAAATTTTAACCTGTTTTAGGTCGATTTATTACACGAACTCCGGCCAGACCTTCTTATATTAACTTTGATGGAAGCAGATGCTAAGTAGCATTAGTCATTGTTTAATGGAGCTGCTCGTGACCAGGACTCGTGGCAGGCCTGCGTGTCTCTGCTAGTCGGGAGGAGTCCAGAGGAAGAGAAGCAGCTCATCAGCCTCCTGGCTAGAGCCGTGCTCAAGCCACAACGGAAACTTTTCACCATTTTGTCCCGGGACAACGTTCTCCTGAAGGTATCATTTTATCTGTTAGTGTGAAAAAATAATTTAAAATAATTAAAAACAAGATAATGAAACTCATACAACTGCTTTGTGTGTTTTAGCAAATTTATTAGCATTTCATTACCATAAAATAGTCATTGTTGTTTTCTAAAATAAATTAACACACACGCGAATCACTGTTTAATTTAATCATAATTTAGTATAAACATATTTGTAAAATGGGGTTTTGTTTATTATCTGTAAATAAACCTTTTATTTACAGATTTGTGAACCGGGAAATCCTAGAGCAAAGAAATCCGATCATCTTCCCATGTTCTACAAGGTAGGGACGTGTGGGATCTGTGAGGACTTCTACCTACAGTGTGTGATTTGCTGATGTCGGCGTCTTGAGTAGATCACTGAGGCTGCTAAAGCGTTGCTGGATGCAGGAGAGGAGATTCCTTGTAACCTGATGACCGAAGTACTGAAGTTCATGCTGCTGCAGATCAAAGCCAGCGACAAGCACAGGAGAGGGAGAGCAGGTGAGTGGTGCTGCAGCTGATGTTTACTTCTCATGGTTTATGCATGATGGCTCACAGCAAGAAGGTTGCAGGTTCAAATCATGGCTGCAGCTTTTCTGCGTGGAATTAGGGTATTCTCTTGATGCATGGACTTCCCCCACTAACCAGTGTAACAGAATGAAATGACTGTTTCCCACCAAAAGTCATTTCCCCCTCTCCTCTGACACAGAACTAGTCTGCATGAGATAGGGCCTCAAGGTCTCATGCATTTGTTATAAACTGCTTCTTTCCAGCTCAAGAGAAGAATGAAGAATGGACTCTCTCCTTTTAATAAGTCAAAGAACTATTTTAATAAAGCTAATCAAAGTGTTAGTCAATAAATAAGATGTGACCAATCTGTGAAATCAAAATATTAATTACTTTATTATAATCCTATAGAATATAATAAGTAATATGACTTTAAATGTTTCCACTAGGACTGATCTCACGTAGCATTGAAAGACATGACACATTACTTTCACTGATCCAATCAGAATCTGACAGATCTGACAGAGGCGTGGTTTTGGTGGTGTTTGGTAAATCTGTCATCTTTTCATTCGACCATAAACCAAAACTTCCGAAGTATAAAACTATGCCCACGCCATCTTTAAAGCCAGTTCAAAGCGTTCTAGAGAAGTTGTCGGAGTGACCAATCTGTAACTTTCCTCTTCAGCCAAAAGAACCAACGACAAGCTGGATAAAATCTGTTGCTGTTCCACCTGCTGCAACGGTTCCTTTCAGAATAAAAACTATCCAGCCTAGTGAACTAGACCAAATTCTTGCTTTGCAAAGTTTGGTCCAGGAACGCTCCACTGGAACCTCCGCAGCCCCTAACAGCATTCTGGCAGGCCAATCACAGCTCTCTAGAGGGGTTTCAAACACATAAAGAGCTGTGATTGGTCCATAATGGTGGGCCAATCATAGTGCTCTATCTGCTTAGTGAACAAATCACAGAGCTTTATCCGCTTTGTGGGCCAATCAGGGCACTCTATATGCCTGGTGGGTGGGATGATGCAACAGAGTGAAACAAGAGAATGTCACATTCATTGTCCAGTGGAATGCGGAGATCATTTGAAAGACAACGGTAGAACCCGCCCCACAACCGAGAGCCGTCAATGGAGCGTGGCCAGACTAAATAATACATTTATTTAGTCTGGCTTGCCAGGCTAAACTGAACCATCAAGACCCGAGGCTGGGTTTAAAAAATTAAATGTGGATTTCTGGAGCTCCGATCACCGTCAGAACCGACCACCAGAAGAGACGTGCGGCTCAGCGGGCCAGCTGGTTTCCGGGTCGGAACCAGATCAGAACCGCCGCCTGGACCACCAGGAGAGGATGCGCGGTTTTTAAAAATACCTGCTCTACTGTCTCGCTCGTGTCTGGGTCAAATCCAGCTCACAGAAGCCCGCATGAGCTCCAGAACCGGATCACAGGCGCCTCTCTCTCTAAGCTAAGCTACGTTAGGTGAACGGATGTCAGCGAGCATGAGACCGCTGACAGACGCTCATCAGTATTAATATTATATTAACTGACCGATACTATTTTAATAGTCTGGTACACGATAGTAATCAGTACAATATTGTGTTGTTCGCACACGAGTTTAAGCTAACATGGTTAACTCACCAGACACCCCCTGCTAATGCTCCTCCTTAATCTCTCTGCTTTGGCCGATGGTCTCTCCCTCTGGTTTGTCTCTGCTCTCTGGGGCGTGCAGCAAACTCTTAACTTAATGGTTTTGGTCCATCATGACTCATGAGTATAATTATAAACAACTAAAGTTTCCTCTGTGCCATTGCCGCCATTATAATCTGTTTTTTTTTCTCTGAATTAAGCTAACAGGACTCCCTCAGATGACGTCACTTGGTTTGGCCAAAAGAACTTTCTCACAAAAAAGACTCTAAAAGCCTGAATAATTAATGTTTGTGTAAAAAAACTGTTTAAAACGAGTTTCTGTTTGGGGGCAGCAGTAGCTCAGGTGGTAGAGCGGGTTGCCTCATGATCGGAGGGTCATGGGTTCGATTCCAGCTCCCGCCAGGGGCATCCTGCTGTTGTGTCCTTGGGCAAGACACTTCACCCAACTTGCCTGTGTTAGTGGTGGTCAGAGGGGCCGACGGCACCAAATGGCAGCCTCGCCTCTGTCAGACCTCCCCAGGGCGGCTGTGGCTACAAGTAGCTTACCATCACTGGCAGTGTGTGAATGTGAGAGTGTGTGAAAGCATCTTTGGGTGTCTAGAAAAGCGCTATATAAGTTCAATGCATTATTATTATTATTATTATTATGTTTCTCTAAACATCGGTTCATGGGAGTCTCTAACCTGCAGTTTGCTCTTCAACACTTGTGTGCTTGTCTGTATTTGTCATCAGATGATGAACCAGACGCTGGTCCTCACCACTACATACTCTTGGTGGGCTTCTACCAGCCACGGCTGATTCCTCTGCTCGATGAGGATGGTGTACACGTAGCAAACATCTTCCAGCTGTGCCCAGAGCAGGCTCAGACCCGTGCAGAGGAGCAAGGTCACCGCTCTGAGGAGAACCGGCCGAGCACAAGAGCTCCTCAAGTTCTGGAAGCAGGTTAAGACTCTTCACTACTTTTGGCTTCATACACCTGTACAGATCTGATGTTCTCATTCACTCTGGTGTTTAGAGATGACTCTAAAGGTGAAGCGGTTCTGGTCAGGTCTAAGAGCAGCTTTAGACAGCGGGCCACCAGACTCCAGGCTCCATGATGTGGTTCAGCTCAGCTGTACTGTCCCAGATCTCACATCCTCTCTTCAAACACACGACTCTGATGCAGTGGTGAGAAGAGCCTCACATACGAGTTCCAGAGGTGGAACGAGTACTAAAATTTCCTACTTAAGTACGAATACCAATGCTTTGATAATTTTTTACTCAAGTACAAGTAAAAGTACTTGCCTAAATTTTTACTCAAGTAAAAGTAAAAAGTATCGTAAACAAAATGTACTCAAAGTAAAAGTTACTTAGTTACATTTTTGTCAGCGTAAGGATGGCTACATCTAAGTAGTTCAAAATCACAATGCCAGTTCACAATTCGCTCGGGTGTGCACGCACACACACGAGCACACACACACGCACACACACACACACACAGCAGCATGTTAGAATCATTTGAATGACTAATTTAACTACACTGAACTGCTTTAGTAATAATTTAATCTCTTATTCTGGAGTAAAATAAAGAAACAAGCTAAATGATCACATATGTGTGGCATCGAGGAGCAACTTGAGTTCAAACACAGGGATGGAGCACAATGTTTACACCTGAACAGTATCAGGATGTTTAACTCACAGAGGCCTGCAGGTCTTCTGTTTTATGAGCAGAGCGCTGATAATCCGCTTGTTATGAGCGCTGAACGTTATTTTGCCGCTGCCGTTCGGAGCGACAGGGAAACACGTTTCAAACACGGAACCGAGTCCGGCTACCGAACCGAGCAGAATTCTGATGATGTCACGCCGGTGTGCAAAAGGTGCGGGATCCAACCCACAGGAGAGGAGGTAAACAGCGAGTTGAGGGACTGAACTGGTCTTTGAGCAAAAGTGTACACCCCCCCACCCCCACCCCCTACGGTTTAGACGCGGCGCTCATGCAGGTGTCTCTTTCCGTTCCGACGCTGCTACACGTAATATTTTTAATTTATTAAGCCTACAATTTATTTTTACTCAGTAACGGATATGATTTAAAATGTAGCGAATTACAATTCTTTTTTTAAAACATACTCAAGTAAAAGTAAAAGTACAGACTTTAAAAACGACTTGAAAAGTATAAATACACAAAAAAGCTACTCAATTACAGTAACGTGAGTAAATGTAATTCGTTACTTTCCACCTCTGATGAGTTCATAGATCTCTTCTTAGGATGGATTTCTAGAACTTTGCATTAAAAAGTCATTTTTCTTCATCGCGTTTGTGGGTTTCATGTTTTCAGTTGAGCCTGGGAAGCAGAGTCTTTGGAGGCGTGGCTAATCTCATCTACGACTGTCTGGACTGGCGTAGACAGTATCAGCATTACAGGGACGATGTCAAGCTTCTGAGTGTCCCCTGTGTTGGACGGGACTCCCAGCCTGAACAGGTGAACATGTTAGAAAGTCCCTAACCCTACGAGGGTTCACTCAGTTCTTAATTATCCAGATCTAACCTAAAGTGTGCCCCCTAGTGGATGTCAGAGGTAAGCCAGCTGTGAGCTCGTCGATAACAGCAGTTTCCTTTGATCTAACTGATGCTGTTCTTCCCTCTGAGGAGGATTAAAGGTTGTTTCCCTTAAGTAGAGATGTTTACCCATAATGCTCAGCTCCAGCACCAGCTGTCAGCATGGCGGCTGAGGGCTGGTGGTTTGGGTTGACCGTGAACTCTCCTATAGACCTGACAGCTGTGGCCAGAACCCAGGAGAACGATCAGAGCCCAGAGCTTAACAACGGGGTGCTTTTCCATTTTTATTTTTGGTTTTTGTTTAGCGAATGTTGACCCAACGTGGAGAAACTGCTGTGTTTTCTCTATAAATGACGTTAGATTTGACTAATTTTAGAACCTGGTAAATATTTGCTAGTTTTTCTTATGTCCTGTAACCCTAAAAGAGTGTTTTTATTTGTTACCGTGACGGTAGTAAACCTGTAAACAGGGGTAGCTTGTAGTTGTTGTCATATTTGAACCATTTATTATTGTATATTTTTCATTTAGATTTGGTGTCTTTTATTCAGCTCAGATGTCTATTTAAAAAATTCATTTTACCTTAAAAATACCAACTTTAGCAGAGGATGGTTTCGATCCATCGACCTCTGGGTTATGGGCCCAGCACGCTTCCGCTGCGCCACTCTGCTGCGGACCCCTGACGCAACTCAGCTTCATCATAAGCTGCTAAAGAGGCCCCCCCACCCCACCCCAAACACACACACATACACTCACACACACACACAAACACACTCACACACAGCTCATATAGAATCATCCTGATGACCTGAGGCTGATCTGTAACAAATACTGAATCCAAAAGTAACACGAGCTTCTGTTTGTTCCAGTTCATTAAAACCACTCATCAGGCCTCGTTAGAGTCGACCGTTCTGCCGACCCAACGCACCAAGAAGATGAACAGGGAACCAGCCCCACCAGAACCTGGTGAGCCTCACCTCTCTGATCTCATTCTGCATCTTTTGCTCTTCTTTACTGCCACTCTTAAGTTTTGTCCCAACAATTGATTCAGTAAAACCTGAATATCTTTTTCCTGTGTGGACAGAGAGCAAGCTGCCTCCTCTCTGTGTGGACAGGCGTTACTATAGCAACCTACTGGACCAGGTTCCCCCTGAAGCCTGCTTTGTACCCTTTATCATGAACTGTATGCTGGAGCAGGTGTGTGTGTGTGTGTGTGTGTGTGTGTGTGTGTGTGTGTGTGTGTGTGTGTGTGTGTGTGTGTGTGTGTGTGTGTGTGTGTGTGTGTGTGTGTGTGTGTGTGTGTGTGTGTGTGTGTGTGTGTGTGTGTGTAGGAAGAGGTGATGACAGTATGAACAAGCACCTCCAACTTCATTTCCTGTGTGGTTTTTTTTGTGTCCAGGTGGTCCTCACTTTGTCCCAAACACCAGAGGAACCCAAACCGGTCAGCGGTGGCCCCTGGTTGGACCCCCAGCATGCTAGCTGCATGCAGGAGAACTTCCTGCCTCTTCTACACACCGAAGACGAGAGGAACCAGCATTTAACCGACGTCCTGACTTCAGCACAGAAGGAAGAAGACATGAAGGTATGAAATCAGAAGTGTTGCTCCTTCAGCACAAGCAGCATTGGTGGTTCAGTGGTAGAATTCTCGCCTGCCACGCGGGAGGCCCGGGTTCGATTCCCGGCCAATGCAGCAACTTCATTTTTCCCCGCCGAAGCTCTTAACACATGACGTGAATTTTAGCGAGGAGCTCAAAGCCCTGTGTCCTTCTATCAAAGACCTCCTCCTGTTGTTTACAATGACTACGCTGCCTGTCCTGCAACATAAATGCAGTAGGCGTGCCGTTGCTGGTGTGTGTGTGAGACATGAGTGTGTGTGTGTGTTTGGGGGGGAGGGGAAACACTCACTCCAAAGAGCACACGTTGTGTAAGAGGACGTGGCTTGTTCTGTTGCTTCTACATTTGAATGTGAAGTGAGTTCAGAAAGGCTCCCAGCAGAAGGAGACTACCTATTTAACTCTGAAATGTTTAGACTCGAGACCGTGGAGCTGCTGCAGCTGCAGTCGTTTCTCACAAAGCTGAATCAGAGCGTAATACAGCCGTGTGTCCAGCAGAGGGAGCTCAAGTCAAGGTCAAAAGCAGCAAATACACATGACTGCTGCAGATTCTCTATGTACACAAATACAGACTGACTAGTACGGTGGCCCTGAAGTGCAAATCACACCAACCACTCACTAAACACAACTACAAATTGAGAAGCACACAAACAAATAATGGTCACACAAACAAATTAAGAAAACACACAAAAAAACAGAAAAACAAACAAATTAAGAAAACACACACAAATTAAGAAAACACACAAATTAAGAAACCGGAATGGTTTGGTACCAGTCAGCAACAGGAAACATCAGTGATTAACCGACTGCGATGTTTGTCTTGTGACCCGGAAGTACTCTATTTGTAGCGCATTTTCCAAACATGAACATTAGCGGTGACCACATAGCTGCCGCTATTCAAGAATATTTTGATTCAGGACATACATACGATGTGATACTGGACATGCGTAAGTCTAATCATGACATTTCAATTAGTATGCATACACTGAAGACGCACCTGAAGGAATCTGGAGGCAACTACTCTCCACTTCCTGATGTGAGGCGTGCCGTTTTGACCGAGCTTTGAGGACCAGGGCAGTTGTTTGGAAATCGGACCATGTGGCAAGTTCTCAAACAAAAATACAAGCTGCGTATCAAGCGTGATGTAGTTTTGAGGCTGCTGAGACAACTGAATCCTCGAAGAATTGCTTTGAGAAGTCAAAGGAGGTTCACAAGATGCACGTATCACTCCATGGGGCCCAATTACATATGGCACGTAGATGGCTGTGACAAACTGAAGCCCTTTGGCTCGGCCCTGTCAGGATGTATAGATGGCTTTTCAAGAAGAACTATGGGGCTTGTGTGGAGCAACAAACAACAACCCAGCTGTTATAGCTCAAAATGATATAAACTGTGTAAAGAGTAGGGATGAGCGAGTACACCACTATCTGTATCTTTACTCGGAATGGGCGTGGCATAACCCGGAAGTGGGCGTGGTTTAACATGAAGTGGGTGTGGTTTACATCAATGTATTATTTTAAATCTGAAATTGATATGGATCGATCAGAAGTTGCTATGTGAATTGTTTATTTGAAAACTATTTACAGAGCAGCCTCAGAATAGAGATTAAATATTTTTGATCACAATAGTAAAGAAACTATTACAGAACAAGTTTTTCAATAAAATCAGAACATCAATATTTGAGTGCAAGGATTAATACATCTGAACTCATGCAGTAGGAACTAGGAAATATGAAATGCTAGAACCAGACACAACTTTATGTATATTTTTTATTTTAATTTGATTAAACTGATTTTTTTTCTTAACGTTCTTGGCATTTTGCCCCCCACAAAGTTAAACAAAACAATGTTGATTAATGTGTGTGTGTCTGAGAGAGATAGAGAGGGTGAGAGGGAGAGAGATGGAGTTAAAAAAAATATAAAACCCGACCGGAGCGGAGGTAGTGAGTTAATGCAGCACGTCAGCTCTGTCTTGTCAAATGCATCATGTACAGTAAGTTACGACAAAACTAACTTGAAATATTCAACTGAAAAAGAGGCGAGCTGAAGAAAACCTAGGGAAAACTGAAGAAACGTGAGCAACAGTGAAGCAAGCACAGCAAGATCCGTTACTGTGTGTGCGTGGATGAGCCGGACGGACTGCGCTCCCGGCCGACTAGAGAGTTTTGTGTGTAGGGAGGGGCGGGCGCTCTATGTGACTGGCCAATCACAGAGCATGAAGACAGTCAGTTACCCAATGAGGATTTTCCTTCAGCACGATTACAGATATTTCCGAGGTTTACTCGTTCCATGCTCGTATTCGTCAAAAATGCTTTATCCGTATCCGAGTATCCGGCTCATCCCTAATAAAGAGTCTTGGTGTGATACCAATGAGATTACGAACAGACCTCGGGACAGAGAATGGGACTATAGTACCCTCCGTGATGCGCACACAGACTTATGCTGGATCGCCAAGCCACAGTTACGGATCATCTACTGTCTGGGAATCAGCGCATCGAGTCATGGTGGTCTTATTTCAGCAGAGGAAGGTGGGTACATTTGTGTCTGGTAGATTTAGGTTATATTCAAAGTTAATCAGATAACTTTTACATGCATTTTAGCGTCCTGCTGGACGTGTTGAGATGATTGAGATAAGACGTTAACGGCTATTGCAGAAACTCCTACGTCTTTATACTCAAACGCACACCTGCTCAGATTTAATCACGCCAATACAAAATGGGGGTAAAAGTAACCCAGACCTAACTCTCTCTCCACTCCTCACACCCAACACACAGAACAAAGTGAAAATCATATAAAGCAATTTGAATAAGAACATTACTGCAGGGCCGCTACAATATGTATGGCAAACATAAACATGACTTTATTATAGACATCTATTTATGGCATGTATTAAATTTGACTAAAATGTAATAGTGGATCATTTATTTAAAATACTATAAAATGACAAAGAACAAAACTAAATTGATTATTAATTATATACCCAGGTCTCAGTTTTGGATGGAGTTGTTTGGAGATGTAACAGAATGAAATGACTGTTTTCCACCTAAAAGTCATTTCCAATCTTTCCTCTGACACAGAACTAGTCTGCATGAGATATGGCCTCAACGGCAGCCTGCCCTCGGGCGACGGCCCCGGCAACGGCAGCCTGCCCTCTGATTAGTATAAAATAAAGTCTTATCGCTTACCTTTTGTGTACTCTATATTCAACCTCCCTCTACTCCCCCACTATCCAGATGTTTGCCAACATCAGAATTTAGCCAGTCCCTATCAAATAAAATGTGTTGGGCCTAGTCCAAAAAGTAGACAAGGTTTCTTCCTCAGAGACTAAAGCTTTGAGATGGTTCCACAAGAGAGGAGCCCCATAACTGAAATGTCTGCTTTTAATTATAACTCTTCTAATGTCCTAACAGTAATCACACTAATCCAGTCTTGATGTGATAAATGCATGAACTAGTTAAGCATCACTACTGGAAAAGATGCTTCTAATCTTAGCAATATTCTGAAGGTGGTGGTAGGAAATCCAACAAACCTCATAAATGTGGGATTAAAATGAATTGACTTGATCTAATTTAACATCAATGTTCATTACTTGGGACTAATTAAATGCCGTTCAGATCAGGTGATAGACTAAGCAGTTTCCTTTCCAAAAGTTTTGGTTTAAAGATGAGAACTTAAACTTGGCTATCCGGTACCTGTCTGCTGCCTCCGGAGACCCACAGACCAGCCACGCCCTGTAGGCCTCCTTCTTCAGCCTGACGGCTCCCCGAACCTCTGGTGTCCACCAGCGGGTACGGGGGTTGCCACCACGACTGGCACCGGCCACCTTGCAACCACAGCTAGCAACAGCTGCCTCAACATTCGCAGAGTGGAACAAGGCCCACTCGGAGTCAATGTCCCCCACTGCTCTCGGGACGTGGTCAAAGCTCTGCCGGAGATGGGAGTTGAAGACTGTCTTAACAGGTTCTTCTGCCAGGCGTTCCCAGCAGACCCTCACTATGCGTTTGGGTCTGCCAGGTCTACGCGGCATCTTCCCCTGCCACCTGATCCAACTCACCACCAGGTGGTGATCAGTTGACAGCTCCGCTCCTCTCTTCACTCGGGTGTCCAAAACATACGGCCGCAGGTCAGATGATACAACTACAAAGTCTATCATCGACCTGCGACCTAGGCTGCCCTGGTACCAAGTGTACCGATGGGCATCCTTATGTTCGGACATGGTGTTCGTTATGGCCAAACTGCGGCTTGCACAGAAGTCCAATAACGAAACACCACTCGAGTTCAGATCAGGCGGGCCATTCCTCCCAATCACACCCCGTTCCTCCCAATCACACCCCTCCAGGTCAAGCTGTCATTGCCCAAAAGAGTCAAGTTTATAAAAGAATTTATTTTACCAACAATTAAAACATGACAAGTTAATTAACATTTACTGTGATGGATGGAACTAGATGTGATGTATGAACCTATGTGAATGCGATGTTAGTCAGAACCTCCGTATCTAGGAGAGCTGAGTTCTGGATGTAAAAGAATTTAGTTTGCGTTAAGCTATGAAGTTGATTATTATCAAAAGCACATCAGACGCAATCTGTGTCTACCCCACCTGTTTTCGGAGACCCTCTTGGTGGATCCAAAAGTCAGAGAGGTCGGCTGACCTCTGGCACCGAAGGGCTGTAGAACACCTTGGCACCGACTCTTCAGTCCAGAGATGTCTCGGGTCATGACAGATGGATGGAACCGCACCTCTGGGACTCTTTAAGGAGTCGGAACAATATCAGCTTATTCTGCAGGATATGTTTGCTATGTCAGCTTTGCAGGTGCAAAAAGGTTTTGACGTGTCAAAAGCTTTGATGGGTTCAAGAGGGGTTTGCTTCAGATGGCCGGTCTGAAGCTTTCTCTAGAACTGAGGAATCACCAGAGTAATCTGGTTTTAATGTTCTCATGTTATGATTTGTGTAGCCAACCAGAGGTTGACAAGTTTGAGGAATATTACCAAGAATCTCAGAAACACGCCTTCCTTGATACCGGACGCTCTGATCTGGGGAAAAGGACAATTTATGTGTCATGAGTTTAACTTAACCTTACTTTCTTGTGTGAGTGCAAATGGTGATGACCTTGTCATATAAACATGCTGAAACATATTTTAATCACTATAATAATAACATAACATTCATTTCCAACTTCAATCATTGAGCACCGATTAATAAAACATTTCATTATATTATAATTATTATAAGTAGCAATAAACAAACATTTATTTAATGATTATCTAGCTTATAAGTTGAATAAGTTCATATCTGATTTAGGAAATCATTCTTTGATTTAGCAACTAATCCGGGCTGCGAGTGTTCCTTATATGGAGGCATGAAGAATCCTGAAAGATTGGACCTTCAGGAGAAAACATTATTGACAATTCGTTATCTGTGTTCAGAGCTGCAGGCTCTGAGCTCCAGCTGGTGGAATGGAGGCAGGCTGATTTAAAGGTGACACATGCAGTCTTGCGTCTCCTTTTTGACCAGATGTTGAATGGTCAAACTGTACCTAAACTGACCATTGCTGGACGTTACAGCCCCAAATGCCTTAAAACCTGCAGTCAAAGAGAAAAGAAAGACAAATCACCACACAAGTCACTTTTTGCAAAAAGGACAGACGCTCAAAGCTTGAGGCTTACAACTGCAGGTATTAGGTGAATGATAAAATCCCTAACAGTTATTAACAGGAATGATCCCATCCGATCACCGGATCAGAATCTGGGCCTGATCATGATTTTAAATGATCATAATCAGATGGAAACGGTTGGATATAACCTAATGACTAATATAACTTAATGGCAATGGCTCAGTTTTTATTTTAACCAGTGTACAGTTAGTCCTAGTCGCCTTAAAGCCAAACACCGTGCTCTCCCAGTTCACTGCAGCAACCTGGACAAAAACACAGCCTCCTACATGCGTGCACTGTCGTAATCCTTATAGCTCGGCATGTTCATATACTGCTTAAACAATATGAATTACGAGCAACAGGGTTATGTTCTAACATCTTCATAATATTAAAACATTTATCAATGTTCTTCCTGTATTACTGATGTTTTGGCAGCTAAACTAGGAAAATGACAAATACAGAAAGTTAGAAATAAAAAATACCAAAAATATACAAATTTGGGTGTTTTCTACTTTTTCTTATTTTAATGCATTGCTGAAGTATTGGAACTTGGTATCAAAATCTAATGACTCAAATTGGAGACAAAAAATACAAAAAACAATCCGAACATCTCTAATCTTGTAATAATCTACAAACTCAAACACAATAGGGATTTTTTTTGGGACTTTTATTGGGAAAGTACAATTTAGCAACAAAAAAAATTTTTTTTACCCTCCCATCTTAATTTAATTACTAATTTCTTCACAGAATGACCCACTGGATCCCAGTCCTAAAGCAGAGCTCAAGTAGGTATGCTTCATAGCAAAGCCAGAGGACACCGCCAGCCCAGCAGTTGGTCTCTGTTAGGTGGAGTCTGCTGCTCTCACATCAGCATAACAGAAAGAAGCTGACCCACTGAGGGCAACATTGAGGTTTTCTCAACCGTGTTTATTAAATGAGCGCTCTGTAGTTTTTGTCATTAACAACAAATACATTGAGTTTTTACATCAAACCATCTTGGTTGTTTTTAAATGCTAGAGTGTGCTCTTTGATGGTCAAACATTTTCAATGACTCAATACAGTAATCAAGCACTTTCAATACCTTGAAAACACATGAATAAAATTCAAGCATTTGAGGATTTCAAGCACCTGTATGAACCCTGAATAAAAAACGGTCATAACACCTGCATGGTGGAGTTGCAGTTCTGAAAGTTCCATTGCAAAGAAAATATAAGAGGGAGGTGGTGTATACAGCCTGATCTGCCATGGGTCACAAACGCGCTCCGGTGCAGCGGAACCATTGGTGCATTTGGGGAAAATGTTCCCCGATTTTAATACACACCAAAGCGTAACCCTGATCTTGGATGTATAAACTCCAAGGGTCCCTCATGATAATCTTGTAGTTATGAGAGTTCTTTGTGTCCAGTATGGACTCTAATATGTCTGGTTAAATTTGATTTTGTACAATATATTTTTCCACAGAGCTCACAAGCAAAAGGCTTCTGTCCTGTGTGCACTCTTATGTGACTGCTTAAATTTGACTTTGTACCAAATCTTTTTCCACATAGCTCACAAGCAAAGGGCTTCTGTCCTGTGTGGACTCTCATGTGACTGTTTAAATTAGTCTTTTCACTAAATCTTTGTCCACATAGCTCACAAGCAAAAGGTTTCTGTCCTGTGTGGGTTCTCATGTGTCTTTTTAAATGTGACTTATGGCTAAGTCTTTGTCCACAGACCTCACAAGCAAAAGGTTTCAGTCCCGTGTGAACTCTCATGTGTAGATTTAAGTTTGCCTTTTGGGTAAATCTTTTTTCACAAAGCTCACAAGCAAAAGGTTTCTGTCCTGTGTGGACTCTCATGTGTATATTTAAAATCGTCTTGTGTCTAAATCTTTTTCCACAGAGCTCACAAGCAAAAGGTTTGTGTCCTAGATGGACACTTATGTGATTGTTCAAACTTCTCTTTTCCCTAAATCTTTTTCCACAGAGCTCACACACAAAAGGTTCATGTCCCAAGTGGACACCTATATGACTGTTTAAACTTCTCTTTTGGCTAAATGTCTGTCCACAAAGCTCACAAGCAAAAGGTATCTGTCCTGTGTGAGTTTTCATGTGACTGTTTAAATGTGCCTTTTGTCTGAATTTGAGTCCACAAAGCTCACAGGCAAAAGGTTTCTGTCCTGTGTGAACTTTCATGTGTCTGTTTAAAGTTGAACTTTGGCTAAATCTTTTCCCACAAACCTCACAAGTAAAAGGTTCCTGTCCTAAGTGGACACTCATGTGACAGTTTAAACTTCTCTTTCCAGTTAACCGTTGTCCACAGAAATCACAAGCAAAAGGCTTCAGTCCTGTGTGTGTTCTCATGTGTGTGTTTAAAGTTGAGTTTTGTCTAAATCTTTTACCACAAAGCTCACAAGCAAACGGTTTCTGTCCTGTGTGGACTCTCATGTGTTCAGTTAAATGGGACTTTCTTCTAAATCTTTTTCCACAGTCATCACAACTAAATGATTTTAGTTCTTTCTGAACTTTACTGCACGTGTCTACATGTTGACTCATTCCAACGTATTTCTTATTAATCAAACACCCCGAAGACCTTCTTGTTGAAAGACTCGTCACTCTCACATGTCTCTGAAGAGACCACTTGTGGAGAAATTGTTTACCACACTCAGGGCAGCTAAATGATTTTATGACGGTCTTAACATCTGACTCAGAAGACCTGCTCTCATTCCAGTCATCATCTCTGTCTCCACTTTCTGGCACAGAGTCTGACGGATCAGAGACTAGATTCACATCATCATCCTTTTTATCATTACCACTAAATTCAGTCTCTGAAGAATCACATATCTGTTCATAAGGGTTCACATCTGGGTTCTTCCTCGTTTCTGCTGCCATCTGCTCAGCTGTGCAACTGGTTGGAACTTCTTTGTCTTCTATTTTCTGATGGTGAAGCCATGAGAACACAGGTTTCTCTTCATCGTCCTCACTCTTTATAGAAACTAAAGTGATTGGAAAACTTGTGGCATCAGTCTCCTTCAAATGGAGCTGTTCTCCCTCCAGACTAGTCCAGAGTTCCTCCTTTATGTGGAAGTGTTCTGGTTGCTGCTGGTCCACACCAGCACTTTGTTCTTCAGGAGCTTCTTCTTTAACCAGCAACATCTGGTGAACATCTATAGGAAACACAAAAACACATGATGTGAATTACAATCAATGTAACTTTTTATGTACCCCTATAACCGTTGTTTTAATACTTTATTTTGGTGAGATCAGAACTGACTCAAATAACAGCAAAAACATTTTTTCAAGTGAGTGACAATGTCTTGTGAGGTGAATGTACAAAAATTTAACAAAGATTGTTAGGGCAACAGTAGAGAAGTCAAGTGCCCACCCTGTCACTGGAGAGTTGCAAGTTCAAGGTCGTTGTGTTCTTGGGCAAGACAATTTACCTTGCTTGCTTGCTTGTGGTGGTAAGGATTGGTGATGCATTGATCTAAACAACATGTGCCAGACACAAGGCTGGCCCGTGGAGCCTTTTTATGTGGCCCGCGAGATAAATATCAAAAATATATTAAAACTGACCCACTGGCTGATTTTACCGCAAAGACTACAACTCCCATGATGCTTTGCGGCGTTAGCGCGGAGTCGCAGCACCCCCTCCTTTGTGTTTTTTTTCCAGCGTCTGCTGCCGGTGTCTGCAGCTCTGCTGTCTTGGACAAACTAAACACTCCTCTCACTCAGCGCAGAGTTTACTCAGCTATTTGCCGACGTTGAAGCCCAGAAACGGAGATTTTAACCGCTCAGTAATGTGTTCACTACTGAAAGAGAAAGTTTTCCAACTAACTTACAGACAGAGCTGCTGTAACCCCAGTGAGCAACGACACGCTCAAACCAGCACGGCTCTGTGGTTGCTGTCGTTGTGTTTCCTCCCCGACACACAACAACGTGGTCAAGCTGCTCAGACACGTTCATCAGCACAAACCTATGTGAGCACCTGTTGTCATCTAATGTTGTCATTATTATGATGAAGATGAACAAAACAACAGAAGTCTCCTCCTCAGCTCAGATCAACCCCATGATGCAGGTATCTGGCTGGAACAGGTGAGCATCACAGTAAACCAGTGGAGCAAACTGAGCTTTAAATATGTTGGTTTTCTGCTCTTTTTCTGCTCCAAAACATGAAAGTTAACAGGTGAGATGTTGCATTTTCATTTAAGATAAAATGATATTTTTATTTTGTTGTTGGCCCGTGAGAAAAGATTTAACCTACAATAAACAGGAAGTGGAAAGGCTGCAGATAGATGAATAGAATAGAAAATCCCTTTATTGTTCCTCAGTGGGGAAAGCTAGACGTCACAGCAGCGATGACACGTATTACAGGAGAAAAAAAGGAGAATAAAAAATAAGAAAAGTGAATAAACAACAAGAAAACATAAATCCTGAATAGATTTTACAAATGCTGAATATACCACAAGTAATGAATACCACTAATGCATTTTATTTAAAATTGACTTGCTTGTGTGTAATTTGGTTATTCCACATTCAGTGTTAATGCAGAAATAAGTTTGTTTCCAAATTAAAAGGTTCAAAATTGCATATATGTTGATAAAGAAAATGTGCATATTTGACGTCACTTTTTAAAAAAAAAAATTAAGTTTGGCCCTCGACTCCATCCCAGATTTTCATTTCGGCCCCGTGTAAGTTTGAGTTTGACATCCCTGGTCTAAACCAATCATGCAACCAGCCTTTCACCACTTTCTCATCTTGCTCAAAATGAACTAGTTTGACCTTAAAACTATTGTAAAAAATTGCTCTGTTACAAAAGAAGATATTTGACTTTAGAGCTCAGTACGAGTGTGCTTTTTTTTTTATCAAAGTCAAAGTCAGTTTAATTGTCACTTCTGCCACATGTACAGGACATACAGAGAAATGAAATTATGTTACTCTCAAACTCTCGCTAGATAGAAAATAAACATTTAGTATAAAAACAGTAACCAAGTTCAGAGAGACTGTGGGGGAAAAGAGAGGAGAGGGGGGAGAGCCGGGAGGGAGTTTAGCTTCCTAACTGCCTGATGGATAAAGCTGTCCTTCAGTCTGTTGGTCCTGGCCTTGAGACTCCGCAGTCTCCTCCCTGACGGCAGCAGCTGGAAGAGGCTTTGCATTGGGTGAGTGGGATCAGCCGCAATGCGAAGGGCCTTTTTTGTGAGGCGGGTGTTGTAAATGTCTGGTAGGGAGGGGAGAGAGACCCCAATGATCTTCTCTGCTGCTCTCACTATATAAAGTTAAAGTTAAAATCCCATTAGTTGTCACACACACAGGTGTGTGTGCGAAATTTGTTCTCCGCATTTGACCCATCCCCTGGGGGAGCGGTGAGCTGCAGACACAGCCGCGCTCGGGAACTATTTGGTGGTCCAACCCCTTAATGCTGAGTGTTGGAGGGTTTTAAGGTAGGAAATGTTGCAGGCTCCGAACCACACAGTGATGCCGCACGACAGGATGCTCTCGATGGTGCCTCTGTAGAAAGTATACAGGATGAGGGCTGGTGCTCTTGTTCTTCTTAGTTTGCGGAGGAAGAAGAGACGCTGCTGTGACTTCCTTGCCAATGCTGTGGTGTTGTTCGTCCAGGAGAGATCCTCTGTAATGTCCACACCCAGGAACTTGGTGCTGTTCACTCTCTCCACAGACACACAGTCAATGGTCAGAGGAGCATGCTGAGTGTGTGCTCTCCTGAAGTCCACAACAATCTCCTTGGTCTTCTCCACATTTAGAGAGAGGTTGTTGTCAGCCACCATGTGGTAAGGCGGCTCACCTCGTTCCTGTATTCGGTCTCATCCCCGTGGTTTATGAGACCCACTACTGTTGTGTCATCCGCAAACTACGAAGCAAACGGTACATATATACTAGAGGCTAGAACGAGATCACACAAAATCAGGGTTCACCTTACCACCAAGTATTTATGTAGAACAGACAGGATAGTAAATTAACAGAATGGCGAATGTGCATACTAGTGTTGTCCAAAAAAATCCATTCCTAGATATAAATCGAAGTGGTATCTAAATTAGATATTCCATCCCTGTGGTATCGATATTTTGGAGTCTCACATATATACAGCCTTCTTCAAGTACACCGACACGCACGACAGCCAGATGTCGTAAAGCAGCCTCTGCCTCCCGGACAAACAGAAGATGAAGACGCCACATGGCTACATTGCAATTTCCCACGCGAGTTGTCTCCGATCCGAGTTTTGTTAACAATGGCAACAGCGTATTCAGGAGGCACTTCACAGCCCAACTTAATCGACAACACAAAGAGCAAAAGTGCAGTGTGGAAACACTTTGGATACAAGGCTGATGAGTCAAGGAAAGCAAAAGACCATGACAGACCCGTTTGCAAGGAGTGCTACAAAGAGATCGCTACGAAGTCAAGCAGCACAACAAATTTGGCCAAGCATCCGAGAGACCGACACCCCAAACTGCATGATGAAATGAAACAGGTGTCTAAAATTTATTAAATCTAGTAAGAATGTGTCTAATTGCACCAACAAATTTGAGCTCATGTATTAGTATTAGCTAAGCTAGCATACCAAGTTATTAAGATTAGATGTACCTTTGTCCTACCGTGGAGAAATTCGTTTTCTCCCTTTAATGACCAACAGAGTTGTTCAAAAGTACACAGCAAAACATATGGCATTACAGCTTATGACAAATGCACCTTAAACAGAGTTTAAGCAGCAAAACACTCACTCACTCTGCAAATAGTGTAAATATAGTGAAACAATTAATAATTTAAAGTGTATACTTTCGCCAGTTTTTGTATGCAATTTAAAAAAATGCTGATACTTGAAAGGTTTAAGCACTTTATACACTTAAATCTTAACATTTAATTTTTGCAATATAAATTGAGGAATGTTATTTTTTGAATAAACTTGTTCAATAAATTGGTGTTTTTAAATAGTATCAAAATCGAGTATCGAGGTTTTTTCCCAGTATCGAATCGAGTTTGAAATTTTAGTATCGTGACAACCCTAGTGCATACCTCACACATATGCACCTGCATGGAGATATTTTGGAACAGTTGGATATTGAACGTGATGCAGTGTGTCATCAGGGCAAAGGAGCGCTTTTGGAGTGTCATCATAAAATGATAAATGACCCGCACTTGTATAGCGCCTCTCAGAGTAAGGACTCCAAAGCGCTTTACACTACAGAGTATCATTCATCCATTCACACACACACACCTGTATCCATGCTGTCCAGATGGATGATCCTGAAGTGGTAGCAGGTTTTCTTTAGCCGTGTTTAGCTAACAGCTGCAATAGAAACAAAGCAGGAGAGCTGATTAAGATGCTGCTTCAGAACAAACTCATGAAATTAAAGATCCAACGCTTTGGTTCTGATCAGCTGAGGACAGATCCAGTCCATAAAGGAAACATGTTACATCATCAGACTCGCTTTCAAATGTACGACATATATATTTTTAGTGTTTATTGGTTTATCTGGAGTCATTTTCCCACACTAGGACTCATCTAGCTGACAAGGTTGGTGTGAAGTTTTTTTTTTAGTAAATCAACATTAAAAGTTTTTCAGTTTTGTTAGACTTTATTCTTCCACCAAGTCCAGCTGAGAACCGTAAGTAAAGTCATTTAATGATGGAGCACCTTTCACAGATACGAATATTACAAAGTGCCGAATAACACAGGAAACAAACATGGAGGACCTCTGACCCAAACACATGGCACAGAAGGAAAATGTACCATACTAATGCAGAAAAAAGTATAATAAAAATCTAAATCATCATAAACAAAGAAAACATGAACAAAGATATCCGTAAAGAAAGAAATAAACAGCAACAAAAGTCTAACACACAATTTCCCCCTCCCAGAATTTACCCTGAAGTTTCGACAACAAATGCCCAAATAAAGAGATAGCCCAGTTTAACAGGTAGGGTTTCTTGAAAAACTTTGCAAATACAATCAATATCACGATATATTGAGGATTTCACCTCGATAACGATAAATGGCCGATAACTACAGGTATGGGCAGAAACAAAAGTTGACCACTAGATGGGGCTGTCACATGTATTACGTTGAGTCACATTTTTACGTGACTCAAGGTGGTGCAGTTTCTTAAAGGGACATGAATGTTGCTAACCTACACACACCTTTTCACTTTTTTATTACCAGATTTATTGACATGGAACAAACAATCTCGATGAGTAAGAAATTTCAATAATGATACATTTTTGATTTATTGCCCAACCCTGGAAGACAGCATGCTGCTGAATTATACTGTAAAAACGGGGCGACGGTGGTACAGGAGTTAAGTGCTCGCTCCGTAATCGGAAGGTTGCAGGTTCGAGACCCGCTCAGTCTGTCGCTGTCGTTGTGTCCTTGGGCAAGACACTTAACCCACGTTGCCTGCTGGTGGTGGTCGGAGGGACCGGTGGCGCCAGTGCTAGGCAGCCTCGCCTCTGTCAGTGCACCCCAGGGCAGCTGTGGCTACACTGTAGCTCATCCCCACCAGTGTGTGAATGTGTGTGTGAATGGGTGAATGACTGATTGTGTTGTAAAGCACCTTGAGGGGTTCCAGGACTCTAGAAGGCGCTATATCAAATACAGGCCATTTTACCATTTAAAAAGGAAAATGAAAACCTCAGTTGTTGATGCTAACCTGCTGTCGAGGTGCCTGCATTCATGTTCTCATCTTGGCCCTGGACAAAAGGTAATTCTTCTTTTGGAACAAACTAGATAAACTCTCAATACCTTGGCAGTGGCGAAGAACTGTTTTATAGATTTGATTATTGCTCAAGTTGAGGTTTACTTATCTTGCCTGCCACTGGGTTAAAGGTTTACTGTAAATAAAAATACCCTCATTTGTTCAAAATGGTATATTGCCTGTACTTATAGCACCTATTACGATCTTTAAAAACCCCAAAGCGCTTTGTAACACAATCAGTTATTCAGCCATGCACACACATTCACACACTGGTGATGATGGGTAGCCACAGCTGCCCTGGGGCACACTGACAGAGGCGAGGTTGTAGGCCACAGGCTTTTCGGTCCTTCTGACCACCACCAGCCGGCAAGGCGGGTTAAGTGTCTGAGATGGAGCCCAACCCCAACTTTCTTGCTGCAGGGCAACAGCGCTAACCACTGTGCCACTGTACAGTGCTAAATTCACTAAGGAATAGGGGTGGGCAATATAAATGATATAAGGTAGAAACGATATAAAATTGGGTAATGATAGAGTTTTTGGCTATATCGCAATACCGCGATAACACATGACGTCACTAAAGGTGCTTTTATAGGACACACCATGCCGGCATATCGACGTAATATTACCGCAATGGTATGTCTATAAACGCGCCATGCCGGCATGGCGTTGCACGAATATTGCGGCATTCGTTCTGCCTCACTTGGTAGTAATATTGCCGCATCAGCCCCTTGCCTCTTACGGCTAAACGCGTTAAAGCCCGCTAATCCCTTTGGAGCGATTGTGGGAGCCACCACCCCCCGCAAAAGAGGGTGGTCGCGTTAGTCACGTGTACTGCGCGCCGGGTGCTGGCCATAAGGAAAGCCGGGTGTACTGACGCGGAGACCATGGAGCTTTTGACCGTGCGAGCGGACGAACAGATTAGTCACCTTTTTACGGGGACGGTGAGAGACAGCCAGCTGTTCAACAGAGTGGTGAAAACACCGGCTGAGCGGGCGTCAAGCGAGACAAAAAGCAGGTCACATCAAAGCTAAAGGTCCTGAAAAAGAAATTTCATCAGTCTGACGTGTCTTCCGTCTGACGCTGAATGCGCGACCCTGTACGTCACATACGGGACCTCCCTATATCCCGTCTTGGTTGGAGAGGTGTCTGATGGCAGTTTGTTCTAGCTTCAGCTTTGCTACTATAAATGCCAAAACCCTCCCCAGGGTGCCGCGGCAAATCCCATTTTAAAAACGCTATGGTCCTATAAAAACAGCTTAAGATGTGCACCCTGCTGACATTGGGCCAACAGAATGGCAGTGACTGCAAGCATGGAGTGGGCGGAGGAGGAGGCCTATATTCCTCAAGTGGCATATATTTGAGGATATTTAAAAGCATGTCATTTTGACTTATATAAACAGAGGAAAAAATATATCGCAATATATATCGTTACCGCACATGCTTCAGATTATATCGCAATATAGATTTGAGGCCATATCACCCAGCCCTACTAAGAAATATTATTAATAGTGGTGTAACTTTTATTAGTATTTATGATAAACACATGTATGTAACATGTTTTATTCTGTAAAGTGAGTTTTATGAGCTGACAAATGAAATGTGTTATTATAGCTACCGTTATACCTGAAGGCCTCAACAACAGGGAAACAAGACAGTCACGTTATCATCTTTTAAAAATGACAGTGGTGTGGACTCGAGTCACATGACTTGGGTCAGACTCGAGTCACTATTTTAATGACTTCTGACTTGACTTGATAAAATCTATAGACTTACGACTTGACTCGGACTTTAACGCCAATGAGTTGCGACTTGAATCGACTTGCTTCTGTTGACTTGATGATGACTTGAGCATATTTGATATTTTAGCACAAAAGTGACACGACATGGACAAGAATCATAAATCATTCTTGGTGCTGGGTTTGATTTACTGCTAAATGCAGCAGCTCTTTGTTTATAATCAGTTCCACTTTCTGCTGTTTGAGCAAAAAAAAAATGAAGCTTTAAGAAGCTTTATTTTTGGAATTTGTTTATTATCATTACATTGAAGTTGGACAGATGACTTGATAATGACTTGAAAATTCAAAGTTAAGGACTTGGACATGACTTGGGAGTTCCAGATCATTGTCTTTGACTCGAGACTTAACTGGAAAGACTTGTGACCTGCAAACCTCAGACTACACGTCCACGTTATTGGTGAATTAAACACACATCTGATAAGTCTTCGGACAGATTTTCCAGACTACACCAATCTGTGTCCCACTGCTCGTGTCAAATAAACCTTTATGTGCCGCAGCAGCAGGAGGAGGTAAAGATCTGCCAGATGTGACAAATGTTAGCCTGACGATGAAACAGTAAAACCTTCTAAGGTTTCATATAATCCCAAACAATCGTGACCTTTTATACTAAAATTAGGCATTTAAATGATAAATGGTTGGTAACATGTGCATCATTACCGTACACGCACTTGATCAGCTGCATGTGTAAATCCCATAGACGCTTCAGCCTTCTCCTCGGTTAGCTTAGCACTAGCAGCTTCCCTCCAAAGTTTCCCGCTGACCTGCTTTTGGAGCTCCAATTGTCACGAAGACCGCAGAGCATCTTCTCTGCTTCTGGAAAGATCTCGCACCAAGTCGTTGAGGAGGAGGAGAAAGTTTTAAAAGCCTGACAATGGTTAACAAAGCTGCTTCCGCTCGGCAGCAGCGAGCCAGGCCGGAGGCGTCTTTTGGAATTCTAGGGTGACCAAGGAAGGTCCCGCCTTTCTCACCTGTGATTGGCTAGATGGGCTCGACTACGATTGGCTATTTCATTTAGCAGCAAACCGTCTTCCCTTGCTAAGTGCAGAGTGCAGACTGTCCTCTTGCCACCAACACAACAGCTGTTTTGGGTATTTTATTTAATTTAGAAAATAAGAACTTAGCGCCATTCTGTCCTGTTTTGCAAAAGTTTTTTTTGTTTCATTGATTAAAAACTGAAAAACGTAAGAAGTGAACTTATAAATCTTGTTGCATTTATCACACTGTGGGACATACTTTGTGTCTATGTCTCTAAAGCATTGAGGTTATCTTATTACAGCAGAGTACATAGGATAAACGTGTGTGCCTTACCTGGGTATGAAATATAATAAAACTGCCCTATTTTACCCAGCTGTGTGCAGCAGGTCTGTTTCTCTTCTAGAATAGTGAAAACTGCTGAAAAATAGGTCTAAATCATTATCAGCTTTGAATTAATTTCAATTAAATATACAGATTTAAACACATGAAAGATGTGTCCTCACTTTCATCCTAACAGCCTCAGCCTATGAAAGTATTTCCAAACTGTTATCAAAAGGCATGATCATGAAAATACACCACACCGATTACAGAACACCTGTGCGTGTGTGTGTGTGTGTGTGTGTGTGTGTGTGCGGTCAAAATCTTGATCATACAGCGTGTTTAGATTGAAATAAAAAACTTAAATAAAAACATGAAAAAGAATGAAAAAAAAAGTAAAAATAAAGAAAATAAATAAGACACACGGGGTAGGTGGTAGATGAAACAGCTGGAACTAGGTCAGTGCGCGTGTCGCTCCACGTCTCAGAACGTCACCGCGCATTTCCTGCCTGAAATGTTTTATGTACATGTCAGGAGAGAAAACTGTTTGTGAAAGTTCCTAGAGGAAGCAACAACGTGGTGATCCTCCGAAGCGGTAAATGACACTCATCTAAAGACTGGAAAGGCAGCCGGTAAGACGCAGATTTGTAACGCGTGTGCGCATGCCGATCAGCTGATGTGTGATGTTAAGCGCAGCTCGGAGCTGTGGACTCTGGTGCGCATCATAAATGTTTGTGTCGGGTGTTTAGAAGTCAGTTTGATGTTTGATTGTTAATAAGCTACTTCAAACCTGCTCATTATTTGATGTTGTTATGTAAGAGTGAAACAAATAGCTGAAGTGATGAATTTAAGTGAGTTTGGGTCCGAATGAATTAATGATATGTCCGAATGAATTAATAATATATATATATATTTTCGTGCTAACATTTATAAATGAATATCACGTTGAAATCACGCATTTTATGAATGGCAGTTTATAATGAAATGTTACACAATTTACACTGTTTCTTAGCACACACACTGTTTTTGTTTAAGGTTTTTCACCTGCTCGTAGGCTTTGCCTTGCTTCGTGCTTCGTCATCCCCTATTTCCGTCTTGGATAATATGAAATGGAAGTGAAATAAAGGAAAATGAAAAGTGAAGCCATGAAGTCCTGAGTGGAATCCTGCGTATATTTCTCCAGTTGATGATCCCTGTTAAGTGGGGATTGTGTCACCTAATTTAGGAACTTAACAGTGTGTGTGTGTGTGTGTGTGTGTGTGTGTGTGTGTGTGTATAAGTATATTGAACTGGCAGCTATGTCATCAGCAAACAACAGGTTAGATGAACATTTGAGGGCATGCCTGTTATTTTTAACGTGGCTTTTGAAAAGCTAATGTTAGCTTTCTCACAAAGACGTGTTTACCTCTGCTCAGATATCCACATCAGTTGCTTTGCTTGCTTGCTTAGCTTTCAGGCAAGCGAAGGCCGCTGTTGTCTGCCGCTGTCGGTGCAGGATCGGCTCGGGGTCCGCCGACTGCCGATGATGTTAAAGTAGTTGTCATCGTCGTCTTCCTCCGCTTATCCAGGTCCGGGTCGCGGGGGCAGCATCCCAACTAGGGAGCTCCAGACCGTCCTCTCCCCGGCCACCTCCACCAGCTCCTCCGGCAGGACCCCAAGGCGTTCCCGGACCAGATTGGAGATGTAACCTCTCCAACGTGTCCTGGGTCGACCCGGGGGCCTCCTGCTGGCAGGACATGCCTGAAACACCTCCCCAGGGAGGCGTCCAGGAGGCATCCTGACCAGATGCCCAAACCACCTCAACTGACTCCTTTCGATGCGGAGGAGCAGCGCTTCTACTCTGAGTCCCTCCCGAATGTCCGAGCTCCTCACCCTATCTCTAAGGCTGAGCCCGGCCACCCTACGGAGGAAACTCATTTCGGCCGCTTGTATCCGCGATCTCGTTCTTTCGGTCATTACCCAAAGCTCATGACCATAGGTGAGGACTGGGACGTAGATCGACCGGTAAATCGAGAGCCTGGCTTTCTGGCTCAGCTCCCTCTTCACCACGACATAATTAAAACGATGCTGCTCTAAAAATGCACCCTCATGTTAATCACATGGTTAAATCATGTTTTCATCAGCTGAGCTTTCCAAACAAAAATCCATTCTGAATCGGCGCCACCTCGAGACAACCATTCACACTTTCATCACCTCAAGGTTGGATTACTCCAATGCGATTCTGTTTGGCATTTCAAAAGCTGCATCATCTCGCCTTCAGCTGATACAAAATGCGACAGCAAGATACCTGACCAATACTGGCCGTCGGCAGCACATCACTCCAATTTTAGCAAGACTTCACTGGCTTCCTGTGCACTACCGTATACGTTTTAAAATGTTATGGTTTTTAAGGCGCTGAATGGCTTAGCACCACCTTACATATCTGAGTTACTCACTCCTTATGTGCCGGGCAGGACTCAGTTCAGGTGACCTACACCTACTACAGATTCCCCGTCTACGCTGCAAAACCCGTGGTGAACGAGCTTTTTCTGTCTGTGCTCCGAAACTCTGGAATGATCTCCCGCTGAATATCAGACTCTCCCCCTCCATTGGGGTTTATAAGTCTCACTTAAAGACTTACTTTTATTCCCTTGCTTTTACTGCCTAGCTATTTTATCTAGGTTCATTTACAGCAGGGGTGTCAAACTCAAACTCACAAGGGGCCGAAATGAAACTCTGGGACGGAGTCGAGGGCCAAACTTAATATTTTTGAAAAAGTGACGGCAAATTTGCACATTTTCTTTATCAACATATATGCAATTTTGAACCTTTTAATTTGGAAACAAACTTATTTCTGCATTAACACTGAATGTGGAATAACCAAATTACACACGAGCAAGTCAGTTTTAAATAAAAGGCATCAGTGGTATTCATTACTTGTGGTATAATCAGCATTTTTAAAATCTATTCAGGATTTATGTTTTCTTGTTTATTCATATTTCTTATTTTTTATTCTCCTTTTTTCTCCTGTAATACGTGTCATCGCTGCTGTGACGTCTAGCTTTCCCCACTGAGGAACAATAAAGGGATTTTCTATTCTATTCATCTATCTGCAGCCTTTCCACTTCCTGTTTACTGTAGGTTAAATCTTTTCTCACGGGCCAACAACAAAATAAAAATATCATTTTATCTTAAATGAAAATGCAACATCTCACCTGTTAACTTTCATGTTTTGGAGCAGAAAAAGAGCATCAAACCAACATATTTAAAGCTCAGTTTGCTCCACTGGTTTACTGTGATGCTCACCTGTTCCAGCCAGATACCTGCATCATGGGGTTGATCTGAGCTGAGGAGGAGACTCCTGTTGTTTTGTTCATCTTCATCATAATAATGACAACATTAGATGACAACAGGTGCTCACATAGGTTTGTGCTGCTGAACATGTCTGAGCAGCTTGACCACGTTGTTGTGTGTCGGGGAGGAAACACAACTACAGAGTCGTGCTGGTTTGAGCGTGTCGCTGCTCGCTGGAGTTATATCAGCTCTGTCTGGACGTTAGTTGGAAAACTTTCTCTTTCAGTCATGAACACGTTACTGAGCGGCTAGAATCTCCGTTTCTGGGCTTCAACGTCAGAAAACAGCTGAGTGAACTCGGCGCTGAGTGAGAGGAGTGTAGTTGAACTTGGTTTACACTTTGTTGTATGGCTTTTTTTCTATAGAATTACAAAAATTAGATTTGTGATATTTTAGGATAATTTATTCAATGTGAACCAAGTTTTATATGCAGCTAAACCATAACTGACCTTCTCAATCAATGCAAATCAAAATCCGGGTGCGATACAACTAAAGTTGTATCATTTGCAAACATAGGAAGAAACATGCCAGAAACATTTAAAATATTATTTATATAAATGAGGAACAGCAGAAGACCCAAAATAGAACCTTGGGGAATTCCACAATGACGTTTAGCTCTGTTGGAAAGGCATCCACTGACAGAGACAAACTGAGTTCTGTTAGAAACATGATCAGACAACCATTTGAAATTGGTATTTCTATAACCATATTTCTATAAATTATTTAATAGTATTTTATGATTTACAGTGTCAAACGTTTTCGAAACGTCTAAAAAGGCACCGCAAGTGAATTAATTATATTCAAGTACAGTTGAAACTCTATTAGTCAGGTTGAGTAAAGCCAGAATGACCTTTTCGAAAACCATATTGGCAATCATTAAGAATAGCATAACTAGATAAATTATGAATAATTTTATTAAAAATCTATTTTTTTCCTCAAATTTTTGAAAAACATGGTAAAATAGACATGGGTGTATAGTTAGATACATTTGAGGGATCACCAGTTTTGTAATGGGAGATGACCTTAGCAATTTTTAAATAATTTGGAACTACACCTCTTTAAAGAGATAAAGAAAACATAAATTAGCAGATTGTAAAACAAACTGTTTCACCAGCTTAATAAGTGTTATCGATATATTATGCTCAGCTGCAGACCATTTTTATTGGTCAGTACCAACTTATTTCCTGATCAGGGGTGTGTCCAGGGAGTGGCCTGGGGTAGCACATGCCACCCTTGGAATCTGATTGGCCACCCCAGGTGTCACAACTCTAATTAACCTTTAAATAGGCTCTTCATTGTCCACAAAAGGCTTGGGGGCAAAACAAAGAAAGCATAACCATTGGTGCCACGCATGCACAAAGTTGTGCCTCACCTGGGCCACCCCATTTTAAAAGATCTGGACACGCCACTGTTCCTGATAATCAAGGGGTCTAAAGGAAGTAGGGTCTTTTATGGAATTGAAAGGATCCCCATCACAATTTGGAATTGCGTCAGCTAGCTTTTACCCAGCACTTACAAAAAACCTATTTAAACGCTCTGTTCTATCATGAGGACACTTCAAGAGAACATCACCATCGTCAATGACAGAAGGTGTATCAGATGAAGATCTGTCCTTTGGAAGTATTAAATAAGTCATAAATAGTACCTGAGTGTGGTTGCTTGTGGTGAATGAAGAACCAACCTTCATATTTAACTTATCCCTTCCAAGATGGGTTGTAAAAAAAGAACAACCATCCAAATGATTTCAGTCATAGCCTAACAGAATATCTAGTAACTATCTTACTTTAAATCTATGAAACCTTCACTGTCATTCAGGAAAACAACAGGACTGATCACATGGTTCTGCTGTTTCAGCTTCTAGACAATAAAAGTCTGGAAAATGCTTCATGACAACAGAAACAAGAAATAGCCCTGAAAAAAAAAACCACGACTTCAATTGTATTTAAGCTATTCACATTGTTGGCCACTGGGAGGCGCTGTAGGGATATAAAAACAGACGATGCTGCAGTTTAACAATCTGAAACCACGATCTGAAACTCTTTTATAATCAATATTTTACTGCATGGAGGTTGTTCCAACCACACGCTGTGTTTCAGGACACTTTAACATGAGGCATTCGCTCATTATAGCGTTTGTTTGTTACTCGTCGTTGTTTTAGATTTCACCCGTTTCGTCGACCATTGACTTCCTGGAAGTATGAATGAAAAGCAAGACGAACGAACACAGGTGAAAGTTCATTAAACGGACATCCAGCAGTTCAGCGTCTCACCACCAGAGGGCGACTCACCTGCTTGGATGGGATCCTAAATGCTGCGTTCACAAAACCTCAGAAAAAAGAGCAAGCCGCGCCCTGTCTTGATTTGAATCGGTAAAAAAACAATTATTTACTCATTAATTATTTTAAGTATCCAGTTTTCCTGGTCAGGTAAATGATGATGCTGGTTTGTGTAAAGTTTGTGTAGCGCGGCTCGTTTTACGTTTTCTCCCCTAAACAGAAATTTACTCCAGCCGAAACGTTCCTGATGTGGTCTCAAACGCCTCTGGGCATTTCCTCTACATTTACTTTCATTTCCTATCATCGTGGCGCAGACGATTCTCTCTGTTTAAACCTCCATCTGAAGGTAAGAGACGCGGGTTTTAAATGCTAGCAGCTAGCAGCTTAGATCCAACCGAAGCAGCTTTTAGTCTAGCCGGGCAAGCCAGACTAAATAAATATGTTATATAAAACTTTGCAAAGCAAGAATTTGAAGTTCACTACACTACTCAGCATGTGCTCCACGTTGTCTTCCGGACCACATTGACTTTGATGACGATCAGAGTTGATGTGTGGATGAATGATGTGCGTTTCCTCTGCAGATGAAGGTGTGACGTGTGCGTGTGAGCTGATGTGACTTCAGCAGCATGGATCAGTGTGAGGACAGAGAGGAGGGAGTCCTTCCCTCTAAATCGAGTCTGTGTGGAGAACATGAGACCCACAGCAAAGTTCAGAGGTCAGATGAACTTCTCTAATTGTCTCTAGTTGTCCACCACTCTTCTCCATGTCAGAGCTCACATCACCACATCTTTATTCACAGGAGAAGGCCTGGACCAGAACTTGGAACAGAACACAGTCTGGTGTCCTGTAAGAGCGACCAGTCAAAGGAACCTCCTCTGCAGTTCAACCTTGTTTTCCCATCTTCCACGGACACTGGGTAATGTAATTACTGTACATTTATACACGTTTCTGCTGCTCACCATAAAATAAATAAAATAAGCGAATATCTCCGTAGTGATGATGCACCAATATTACTTTTTTGGCCAATACTGATATTACTATCACTGTTATGGCCAATAACTGATGTTTGCCGATACCCATATGTATGTGTATATGTATGTGTGTATATATATATATATATATATATATATATATATATATATATATATATATATATATATATATATATATATATATATATATATATATATAATAGGGCTGAAACGATTCCTCGAGTACCTCGAATAATTCGAGTACAAAAACGCCTCGAGGCTTCGTTTAATTCATGTTTAATTAATTCATGGCTTTGCAATCACCCGGTGTCATGTTTCACCCGGACCGAAATAAGTGACGCACATACACACGCGAGTAGCGAATGTAGCTTTCTCTTAAGCCATGGCGGACAACGTGGACCCCGGTGGAGTGCGAAAAAGACAGAAAATGTCAAAGTTGTGGGACCAAGGCGGAAAACGTAGTCCAGTGTAAATACTGTAAAATGGATTTAGCCTAACACAACACCACATCCTCCATGCTGCAGCACCTGACCAGGAAACATCCACATGTAAACGTCACTTCTGCAAGCGGACTCGAAGCCTCTACGAGAAAATGCATGTTAGCCTGTATTTCTATATATTCTGCAGACACTGTGCAATTTTCCATTTGTAGCACTTAGTTTCAGCTCACGCTGTACGTCTGGTAGCAACACGTCTGACTTAAAATGTGCTAAAAATAGCAGTTTTTACAACACGTCAGACTTGTTTTTGTGTTGTTATTGATGCCCGTTGTCCCTCAGGATTGCTGCAGGAGGACAGGTATTTATGAGGAAAACGAAAGGAAGTAAATAAATGTTTTGTGATCAGTATAATTTGACATAATCACGGCAAACATGCTTTCTCGACAATCCTTGTTAGTGTGAGAAAAAAAAGTGTAGAAATTAAAACGGTGCTCACATAGGTTTGTGCTGATGAACATGTCTGAGCAGCTTGACCACGTTGTTGTGTGTCGGGGAGGAAACACAACGACAGAGTCGTGCTGGTTTGAGCGTGTCGCTGCTCGCTGGAGTTATATCAGCTCTGTCTGGACGTTAGTTGGAAAACTTTCTCTTTCAGTCGTGAACACATTACTGAGCGGCTAGAATCTCCGTTTCTGGGCTTCAACGTCAGAAAACAGCTGAGTGAACTCGGCGCTGAGTGAGAGGAGTGTTTAGTTTGTCCGAGACAGCGGAGCTGCAGACACCCGGTAGCAGGTGCTGGAAAAAACACAAAGGAGGGGGCGAGTCGGCTCCGCGCTGACGCCGCAAAGCATCATGGGAGTTGAAGTCTTTGCGGTAAAATCGGCCAGCGGGCCAGTTTTAATATATTTTTGATATTTATCTCGCGGGCCACATAAAAATGCTCCGCGGGCCGCATCTGGCCCGCGGAGCATTGACTCTGACATATGTGATGTAAGCTGTCCCCAACTCAACACTAACACACACACACACACACACACACACACACACACACACACACACACACACACACACACACACACACACACACACACACACACACACACACACACACACACACACACACACACACACACACACACACACACACACACACACACACACACACACACCTCTGAATCTACACATTCCATTCCTCTATCCCATCATCTCTTTCATCGATATTGATTCAAATCTTCTAAACTTTTAATCACCAGTATTTTTGCTTACAAACCAACAACTACCAACTAACAAAAATTTTACCAACAACAACCAACTAACAAAAATTTTACAATTTGCAGTCCAGGTACCCTGGATCTTTTTCTGCTTCCTCAGAAAACGGGCTTTCTTTGCAATTTCTGCATTATACTTTGTCAGATGCTCATTTACATAGACCTCAGTTCCTTTCAACTTTTTGGCCTGCTTAAGGAGTGAATTTTTCATCTTTCTGCTCACGAATCTCATGAACACAGACACTTTTCCCTTCCTATTCCTACTTGATAAAACATGACATGCTTCAGTGTTGTTCTCACTGATTTCAATACCCTGTGAGTGAAAGAAAGTCGTCACCTGCCTTTCCACATGATTCATATCTGTATCAGTTGGTTCCTCCCCATTATTATTTGCTACTGCTCGAGCATATGATCTAGGTTTTATATCAACTCCTGTAATGACAACATCATTTATTCTTGAATATTGCTCTAGTTCATCCACTCATTTTTGCAAAATATAGATTTGTTTGTCCGTCTTAACATTTTGTTGTTTCAGTTTTTTTTACTTCTTGTACCTAATCCATAATACTTTTCTGTTGTTGCCTGACTGTTGTAAGTTCTTCAGCCAGAAAGTCAAGTGATTTTTTTAATTTCATCCACTTAGTCATTATTAATCCTCTTTGGTCCCATCTTAAAAAACTGTTACTATCAGCAGTTAAAACCAGTTTCTTTGTAGCTGGTAGCTTGTGTTGAGGCCTGTATCCAATGACTCACCCAGTTGCTAATTGCTGATGTTGAATCCTTTAGCCCAGTTTCCTGAGTTGATGCCTGTAGCCTGTGGCTTACCCAGATGCTGGTTGCTGGTATTGTTTCCTTTTTAGCATTTAGTGCTTAGTAAAACCTGGTCTTCTGGGCCTATTGGCCCATGGTATATTCCAGAATCGCCTGGTGGTGGTCTGTAGGCTGCTGCTGGCCTGGTGGTGGTCTGTAGGCTGCTGCTGGCCTGGTGGTGGCTTCTAGGCTGCTGCTGGCCTGGTGGTGGTCTGTAGGCTGCTGCTGGCCTGGTGGTGGTCTGTAGGCTGCTGCTGGCCTGGTGGTGGCTTGGTGGTGGTCTGTAGGCTGCTGCTGGCCTGGTGGTGGCTTGGTAGCTACTGCTGGCCTGGTGGTGGTCTGTAGGCTGCTGCTGGCCTGGTGGTGGCCTGGTGGTGGTCTGTAGGCTGCTGCTGGCCTGGTGGTGGCTTGGTGGTGGTCTGTAGGCTGCTGCTGGCCTGGTGGTGGTCTGTAGGCTGCTGCTGGCCTGGTGGTGGCTTGGTGGTGGTCTGTAGGCTGCTGCTGGCCTGGTGGTGGCTTGGTAGCTACTGCTGGCCTGGTGGTGGTCTGTAGGCTGCTGCTGGCTTGGTGGTGGTCTGTAGGCTGCTGCTGGCCTGGTGGTGGCCTGGTGGTGGTCTGTAGGCTGCTGCTGGCCTGGTGGTGGCTTGGTGGTGGTCTGTAGGCTGCTGCTGGCCTGGTGGTGGCTTGGTAGCTACTGCTGGCCTGGTGGTGGTCTGTAGGCTGCTGCTGGCCTGGTGGTGGTCTGTAGGCTGCTGCTGGCCTGGTGGTGGCTTGGTGGTGGTCTGTAGGCTGCTGCTGGCCTGGTGGTGGCTTGGTGGTGGTCTGTAGGCTGCTGCTGGCCTGGTGGTGGCTTGGTGGTGGTCTGTAGGCTGCTGCTGGCCTGGTGGTGGCTTGGTCAGGTTGAGGTAAGATGCAATAAGTTGGTCACCAAAGAAATGAGTGAAGAGAAATGCCGGAAACCTAGAAAATGGAATTATTTCTGTAGATGGCCGGTCACCATGTAGGCCGGTATATAGGTGAAAATCGACCCTTTCTGACATTTCTGATGCAGTGGCTGACTGAAGAGTTGAAACAACAGCACTTGAGTCAGCTAAGAGTACAAAAATCCACAGCTTTGGCTATCACTTAGTTGCGTTGTTTACAACCATAATTTCAGATTATAGGTCGTTTAGCTTTAGTGTGGACGGACAGAATGTCAGCTAATTCTTCATGATTCCTCCACAGAGTGGACCAGCAGAGCTCCGAGGTTCCCAGTGGTCAGTCTGCCCAGCAGCATCAAACACAGCTGGACTCCATCTTTATGGTCTGTACATGGACAACAACTACTTTACCGTGTGTTCTGCTCACAGTCGTCTCCATGCTGCTCTTTGTAGACCAGTGGGTTGTCAGTGTGTCCAACGCGGATCTGATGTTTGGCTCCATGATTTCAGTCTGATGTGTCATTCAGATATGATTCTGTTCCAGCTGCTGGAGGACAACATCCTCACTTTTGTGAAGAACGAGCTGAAGAAGATCCACAAGCTTCTGAGTCCAGATGACCCAGAATGCTTAGAGAGGCTGAGGGAGGATGAGGAGGTGTTAGAGGGTGAGGATGAAGAGCAGAGGAGGAGCAGCAGAGAAGCGTTTGTGAAGATCACAGTTTCCTTCCTGAGGAGGATGAAGCAGGAGGAGCTGGCTGAGCGTCTGCAGAGAAGTAAGCACTGGAGAAACTTAAATTAAAGGTCTCGTTCACTTAACCCTTTAAGCGCCAAAGTCGCAATATTACGACAAGCGCCATTGCTGAAACATTGTGACAGACGTAGCAGCAATATAAAAAAAGTCATACGGCAGATGCGTTATATATGGAAGTCAAAGTGTGCCACATAATCATAAAATAAAATATTAAATGAAAAATTATAAGTAGCTTTATATATGTATATGTTAATAAAAAATTAAAAAATATAAAGAAAAATTCAAAATGACATGTAAAAAATAAGGAACGCCCATAAAAATTATACATTCCAATATGGCAGCCTGATGACATCACAATATGCAAATTAGATGAGTGAATTTGCTCCCAACACAAACATTGGGTTCTACTGAAGATTTTTCTCATGTACAGTTTACCTTTATCTCTAACCATTTCCAAGCTACAACCCTTTTCAAATAGTCATGTCAAAATTGTTTATTTTCATGAAAAAACTTTGGAGCCCAAAGGGTTAAAAAACATGTAACGTATTTACCCGAATATAGGACGACCCCTATTATAAGACGACCACCCCTTTCCAAGAGATTAATTTTAAGAAAAAGGCAAAATTCACTATTTAAAGAAAATATTTAATATTTGAAAAGTTTTGGTAAATACAGTAATACCATCATTACAGACTACTTTAATATTTACCTATGAATGCAATCACAAAAATCTGTTATGAAGTTTTTGGGGTTCTGTCAGGAAATCAATCAAATGTTATTTATATAGCAATTAGTTAAACAAATAAAATCCAACTCAAAGTGATTTACACAAATGGTACTAAAAAAAACCCACTGTAGTCTAACTGTAAGAACTTCTCTAAACATGTCAAATCAAAAGTCATTTCAAAAGTCTGCATGAGGCATTTACTCACAGATGTCCTCTGCTTCGCTCTGCTCAGAGTCACTGTCAATCAAATCATATATATATATATCTATATATATATATATATATATATATATATATGTGTATATATATATATATATATATATACGTATGTGTATATATATATATATAATCAACAAAAATCAACTCAACAAAAATATATACGCAACACCTTTGTTTCTGCTCCGATTTTTCATGAGATCTAAAATTCATTCCAGATACACAATATTACCATTTCTCTCAAACATTGTTCACAAATCAGTCTAAATGTGTGATAGTGAGCACTGTGCTTTGCTGAGATAATCCATCCCACCTCACAGGTGTGCCACATCAAGATGCTGATCTGACATCATGAGTAGTGCACAGGTGTACCTTATACTGCCCACAATAAAAGGCCACCCTGGAATGTGCAGTTTTTTGCTTTATTGGGGGTCTGGGGACTCAGAACCGGTCAGTATCTGGTGTGACCATCATTTGCCTCATGCAGTGCAACACATCTTCTTCGCATAGAGTTTATCAGATTGTCAATTATGGCCTGTGGAATGTTGGTCCACTCCTCTTCAGTGGCTGTGCGAAGTTGTTGGATATTAGTGGGAACTGGTACTAGGGCTGCAACAACAAATCGATGAATTCGATGAAAATCGATTACTAAAAGCGTTGGCAACGAATTGCGTCATCGATTCGTTGTGTCGCACAACTCTTCCAAAAGCGGCCCCCCCCCCTCCCGCCCACAGTTGCGCGCAGACCAGAGCAAGTCAGATCATCGCGAGGGAGAGCCGCAGATCAGCGCGAGGGAGAGCCGCAGATCAGCGCGAGGGAGAGCCGGTACAGGCAGATCAGCGCGAGGGAGAGCCTGCAGACTTGCGCTGCTGCGAACCGGTTCCGCATTGTTGCACAGCGATCCAGGCAGCTGCTTCCAGCGCACGGTCCATTCTCAAAGTGGCGCAACCAAAAAACTATAATTAGCACACGATCGTTCTTGTCTGCACATGTTCTCTATTTTCTGTCTTATTTGTGCCTGAAGCGCTCTGCTGCGGAGCTCATCACCTGTGCTGTGGTGATTTCACCTCACGCAGCATCGAAAACGCGCTCTCCGCTTTGCGGTCAGGAGATCTCTTTGATCTGCTCAAAAGTAACTGATGAGGTGAAAAAGTAAGAATCCAGGCAACAGATTTTCTGGAGAATTATGAGGAGATGCAGGAAGATGAGAGACAGACAGGACAGGAAAATAGTTAAATAAAAACAAGAAAACAAAGTAAAATGTAGGTAGATTTATCTCCACTACACGTTTTTACCAGTAAAAAAACAATAAGTTATACACATGTCATAGTTATACATCTGATACAATTCAGATCACCTTCAAAACTCAGTCACACACTCAGGGCCGTTTCAAGACATTTTGGGGGCCAAGGCAAAATGTCCCCCCCCATAACTGGGCTCCCCAGAAGCCTCTGTGTAATCCATACCCTCTCCAGTAGTGTTAGTTATACAGTGTTTATAAAAGCCCCTCAGACATTACTGACATGTTCTAATATATCAGATGAAAAACTAAATTATAAGACATGCTGTCTCATCTGCTGCTTTTCTTAACTTGCAAAAAGTAACAAAACCATTTGAAAGCCACTATTTGTGGATTCTCTGAAAGTTTCCATGGAGTGTGTGACAACTTATTTTATCATTGATCCTATCGTCTAATCTCACAGCTGAAACAAGCATCCTTAATAATCTGTGCACAGGAAGCTTACCGATGCTGTAGTAAAACAAAAGGTATAATAATTTATTATTAATAAAACCTTGTTGCAGCACTAAAGCATAAAAATGAGATTTTGCATTAAATATGCAAAATATTTACATATGAATTGTTTTAGAGCCCTTTTATTGGCAGAATCTGATATTAATTTAGTTCTTACAAAAAATGGGTCCCAACATGGTTTGTGTGGCGTTGCCATAGTGTGACGTCATAGGCACAGATCCCCTGTCCTCTTGTTTGGAAATGGAAATATGATCACCCTACATTAAACAAACTTTCCACCCGGGCTTTTGCCCTGCACAGAGACGCTTTGCTGCCTATGACTTCGAATGTCAGTTGAGAGTCAGTCTCATGCAGACTGACCAATGAAGAGAGGGCCTCAAGTTAAGACCCTCTCCTCATTGGTCAGTCCACACGAGGTGGGTCAAAGGTTACTCTGGGCGGGTTACGTGTTGTCAGGCATTCAAGTATTGAGTATATTTACTGCATATTACAGTAAAATATTCTGTATGTGACCACATTATGGTGATCCTTGGGTCGTGATGATGGAGCCCTTGAATATTGTTGCCCAGGGTACAACAAAGTGTTAATCTGGCCCTGGTTCCGCCGTCACATTCCCGCAGAAACTGGTTGATCACACCGGGGCCAGACTACTAGCATGTGGTTTTACAACCACAATGTCCTCGGAAGCAAAAACGTTTTTAAAAGGGAGGGAGGAGTCCTAACTGTTGCTGCAGGCGTGTTGTGTGAGAGTGCAGTTATATACTGGTTAATATATTTTTGGGTTCAGTTGCTTTCTTGTGGCCTAATGTGAGTCTATTTGGGATCATTGGAATGATCAGCAGCATTTCTTGATGTGACTTTATGGCAGTTGCCCAGGGCATCATCGCAAGGAGGATGGCATTCATTTACTTTTGTTTTATTTGGTATTTTTTCAGTCATTTTTGGAAATAGTGATCAATTTTGATTAATTCACAGCCTATGTTTAATTACATTTAAAATAAATGTCAACAGATGAGATCAAACAAAACAGATGAGAATTGCCCTTAAGCTGTTTAACTTGGACCAAGCATTTTAGGTCACAGATAGATGTAGCTTAGGGTCTCTGTCTATACACCTTATAAGACAATTTAGGTGATGGCATGTTGTTTTTCTGCTATTGAACTGTTTTCTAATAATGTTGTGTTAAATAAAGTGAAGGAAGGAGAGAAATAACGTTTCCCTAGCAGTTTTTAAAAATTTCCCCATGTAATCCGATTAATCGATTAATCGTGTCGAGACCCCATCCGATTAATCGATTATCCAAATAATCGTTTGTTGCAGCCCTAACTGGTACACGATGTAATAAATGCCGGTCAAGCACATCCCAAACATGCTCAACGGGTGACATGTCCGGTGAGTATGCTGGCCATGCAAGAACTGGGACATTTTCAGCTTCCAAGAATTGTGTACAGATCCTTGCAACATGGGGCCGTGCATTATCTTCCTGAAACATGAGGTGATGTTCATGGATGTACGGCACAACAATGGGCCTCAGGATCTCATCACGGTATCTCTGTGCTTTCAAAATGCCATCAATAAAATGCACCTGTGTTCTTCGTCCATAACAGATGCCTGCCCATACCATAACCCCACCACCACCAATATATATATATATTTATATTTATATTTATGAATATATATATATATAAAACCTCTATCCCATAAAGCAGGATCACAAGAGCTCTTTTTTTACCTGCTTGAGACCACTGCAAATTAATAAAAAAAAAGTGTGTGACACAAAAAAATTATCACTGTTTTGAAATATGTGATTTTCTTTTTTTACTTAGAACCTTTGAGTCAAGTTTGTCAACATCGACTTAAATCTGTTCTGAAGAAGAAGTTCCAGTGTGTGTTTGAGGGAATCGCTGCAGCAGGAAACCCAACCCTTCTGAATCAGATCTACACAGAGCTCTACATCACAGAGGGAGGGACTGGAGAGGTCAATGATGAACATGAGGTCAGACAGATCGAAACAGCATCCAGGAAAGCAGCCAGACCAGAAACAACAATCAGACAAGAAGACATCTTTAAACTCCCACCTGGAAGACACGAACCAATCAGAACAGTGATGACAAAGGGAGTGGCTGGCATCGGGAAAACAGTCTTAACACAGAAGTTCACTCTGGACTGGGCTGAAGACAAAGCCAACCAGAACATCCACTTCCTGTTTCCGTTCACCTTCAGAGAGCTGAATCTGCTGAAGGAGAAGTTCAGCTTGGTGGAACTTGTTCATCACTTCTTTACTGAAACCAAAGAAATCTGGAGCTTTGAAGAGTTCCAGGTTGCGTTCATCTTTGATGGTCTGGATGAGTGTCGACTTCCTCTGGACTTCCACAACAAGGAGATCCTGACTGATGCTACAGAGTCCACCTCAGTGGATGTTCTGCTGACAAACCTCATCAGGGGGAACCTGCTTCCCTCTGCTCTCATCTGGCTCACCACAAGACCTGCAGCAGCCAATCAGATCCCTCCTGAGTGTGTTCACATGGTGACAGAGGTCAGAGGGTTCACTGACCCACAGAAGGAGGAGTACTTCAGGAAGAGAATCAGAGATGAGGAGAAGGCCAGCAGGATCATCTCCCACATCAAGACATCACGAAGCCTCCACATCATGTGTCACATCCCAGTCTTCTGCTGGATCACTGCTACAGTTCTGGAGGATGTGTTGAAAATCAGAAGAAAAGGACTTCCCAAGACCCTGACTGAGATGTACATCCACTTCCTGGTGGTTCAGACCAAAGTCAAGAAGGTCAAGTATGATGGAGGAGTCGAGACAGATCCACACTGGAGTCCAGAGAGCAGGAAGATGATTGAGTCTCTGGGAAAACTGGCTTTTGATCAGCTGGAGAAAGGAAACCTGATCTTCTATGAGTCAGACCTGACAGAGTGTGGCATCGATGTCAGAGCAGCCTCAGTGTACTCAGGAGTGTTCACACAGATCTTTAGAGAGGAGAGAGGAGGACTGTACGAGGACAAGGTGTTCTGCTTCGTCCATCTGAGCGTTCAGGAGTTTCTGGCTGCTCTTCACGTCCATCTGACCTTCAGCAAGTCTGGAGTCAACTTGATGGAAGAACATCTAACAAACTCTGAGGTATCTAGTGCTTTTAAGAAACCAACACTGGAGTGCCTCCACCAGAGTGCTGTGAACAAGGCCTTGGAGAGTCCAAATGGACACCTGGACTTGTTCCTCCGGTTCCTCCTGGGTCTTTCACTGCAGACCAATCAGACTCTCCTACAAGGCCTGCTGACACAGACAGGAAGTAGCTCACAGACCAATCAGGACACAGTCCAGCACATCAAGGAGAAGATCAGTGAGAATCAGTCCACGGAGAAAAGCATCAACCTGTTCCACTGTCTGAATGAACTGAATGATGTTTCTCTAGTGGAGGAGATCCAACAGTCTCTGAGTTCAGGAAGTCTCTCCACAGATAAACTGTCTCCTGCTCAGTGGTCCGCTCTGGCCTTCATCTTACTGTCATCAGGAAAAGATCTGGATGTGTTTGACCTGAAGAAATACTCTGCTTCAGAGGAGGTTCTTCTGAGGCTGCTGCCAGTGGTCAAAGCCTCCAACAAAGCTCTGTAGGTCCAGATCCAGCAGGATGCTTCTAAATCTGTTACTGTCATTTTTACAGGAGAGAAACTTACTGATTCCTTCTGCTCTGATTTCCTCTTCAGACTGAGTGACTGCACCCTCTACCAGAGAAGCTGTGTAGCTCTGTCCTCAGTTCTCAGCTCCCAGTCCTCCAGTCTGAGAGACCTGGACCTGAGGATCCATGACTCAGGAGTAAAGCCACTTTCTGATGGACTAAAGAGTCCAAACTGTCAACTCAAAACTCTCAGGTCAGATTGTGTTCAAATTACATTTTTCTGTGATAAATGTTTTATGAACATTTCAGGACTTTAAGGCCTAGTCCACACGTAGCCGTTTTTTTTTTTAAAACGAATATCCGCCCCTCCAAAAACTTGCATCCACACAACCTCGTTTAAAAAAAAACTCTGTCCACACGTACCCGGATAAATACGTTGTTAAGGACATGCCAGACCTGTAGGCGGCAGTACTTCCCCCGTTCATACCTCGTCCTTCGTCTGTGGTCTTCCGCATGGAGCAGTAATTCCGCTTGCAAAAACAAACTAGCAAAAAGCGCTAGGACAAGTGATAAAGCGAGCGCAGCTCTGAGGACATCCATGCTGTCGGCTAGTGTAAACACAGGTCGCACACGTGATGTCAGCATTTTTTTTTTTCGCGGAAAGTGACGTTGCGCACCTTAAAACTCCGGTTTTGTCTGTCCACACGCAGACACCCAAAACGAAGAAAACGCAGATCTTCACTTAGACCGGAGTTTTTAAAAAGATCCGTTTTCGTGTGAAAAAACTCCGTTTTTGTGTGGATGACAGGCCAAAACGTAGAAAAATACCTACGTTTTGGCAGATCCCCGGCTACGTGTGGACAGGGCCTAAATCAACCAAATTCTTTCCACTCTTTCAGTCAAAACTACTTTGCACACAGATTTGATTTGTGACACCACCAACAAAAAGTTACATGTAACCATTTGAAATACTTTTCACATCCAGAAGACTTAGAGATTTGAGTAAATCTGAGGTCTTGCTTCATCAAAAAAATAAAAAGATTTTCCATATATTTCAAGTTTTAGTCTCTTAACTTTTCTTAGCTTCAGAACTCTTCTCACTACTTTTTTTATGAGCCCAGAACAACAGCTGTGCTTTATCAAATGATTAAAACAACACTCGAATGGCTGTTTAAAATATTGAGGGCAAACAGAATAAGTATAAATATACTCAGGGGTGTGCATGCATGGCATAAATAATGCATCAATTAAGGTTCCTTTGCCACGATGCTTCTTGGCTACAATGCTTCTTTACATTATGTTACATTTGAGCTCTACTGTTTACGGCCCTTTTCCACTAGAACCTACTCAGCAAGACCTGACTTTGATTGGTGCGGTTCCATGGCTCGACTAGCCCACTGTCTATTCTACACGGAGGACGAGTCTGGCTACTCAAAGGCAGAGAGCACCATGAGAGGTGGAACTAGCTAGCTCGAAAATAACCAATCAGAAAAAAGGCAGAATGATAACTTTTAGCTGTAGTCAAAGATGGCGTCTGGCAATGGCGCATTCATCTTTCTTTAGAAGAAAGGCTTGTAGTGCTTCTTCTTGTTGTGGGTTAAAAGACACGTCCAAGTCATTTAGAACAGAGGAAAGAAGTGCAGCGAACTTCGCTTCAGACGCCAGAGAGAGACAAGTTTTAAAGTTTAAGAAGATTTATTTCTAAACAATTTAAAATAAGGCTAACTATAACTAAACGCTCTGTGTGATGAATGGATCTAGAGGTGAATGAGGCAAGATGGATGGTGTAATAAATGTGGAATGTTGTTATCAGAACTCTTGTTTTCGGAGAAGCATTAGTTCTGTGTGGGAGCGAATGTTTTTTGCTCTAAACTACAGTCGGAGTTTCAAAAACCACAATCAGACGCTATCTTGCCGTGCTACATACCCTTGTTGGAGACCTCCGTTGTAGATCCAGAATGCCAGGTCCTCGGACCCCCCTTTGGTACCGGAGCCGGTGAAACAGCGTACGGTACGACAGACTAGTCTTTGGATTGCCTCCAGGTAAGCGACAGGTGTTTGACAGCAACAGCGGGACCCTGAAGGGTCAGTGAGTTCAGCTTTTACTCTGAAGGAGCGTTGTGTCAGGTGTAGCTTGCAACAGGTTTTATTATCCAGCTCGTCATGGTTCTTCGTGGTTAAAAAGTTACGAGTGGCCGGCTCGAAACTCTAGAACGTTTGAACACTGAGTTAACGGTGATGTGGGAATTAGTTTTATAATTCAGATGTTTTGATTTATGGTCGAATCAGAATGTGACAACAACATAAACACCGCACAGACCACGCCACGCGTCAGAAAGGAAAGTTCTGATTGGAGAGACAAAAGGAATGTGTCATGTGATTTTTACCATTACGTGTGATCAGTCTAGTGTGTAGATTAAAGTTATATTACTGATTAAAACACTATCATAGGATTATAATATCAAGTAATTAATACTCATTTCACAGATTGATTTAACATTGAGCTTTACATGATTATTTGGACTAACAAAGTTATTTGATTATTATTTAATAGAGTTCTTGGTCTTCTTTCTTCTTGAGCTGTAGGGGGAGGCAAATAGCTAGTTAAAACAGTTTAGATGCAGAGGCATCAAAGGCCTTGAGCAATATCTCAAGGAGATAAGTTCTTCATGAGTAGAGAGGGGAAAACAGTCCCTTCATGACGCTACAGTGATGATGCAGTCACAAAGAGTGGTGTATCGTTTTGTGCTGTCATGAGATTTAGTATGAATTCTAATGTGAAACCAAGTAATTTTTTTTATTTAGTGTTTAAGCAAAACTCAGGATTATTTATTTTACCTGACGGCACCATCTAATTGTTGACAAATGTATTGCAACAAGCTGTGATTTTCACTTCTGTGTTTACGGCCAAAAGCAATGCTTTCGTTCACGAATGCGCTCCTAGCCGACAAAATGTAGCTACAACGCATTGTTTTACAGTTTTTATACTCTCGTTATGTTGTGGTTTCATATATTTATATCTTAAAAACTTACTTGTTCATGAGTAAAGTCAACAACTCTGCATAAACCAAGGTACGCGCTGAAACGTTCGAGCACGCTCTGTGATTGACATCTGTACGTAAACGGTAGTCTAATGCAATTGGTTAGTGTTGACTGGCGCTCAGTTCAAAGCGCATGGAGCTCTACGGGACAGAGGGAAGCAAAAACAATAAAAAAGACGTATTGCCTAATTTTTTTTACAGTACATGATAAGAAAATCACTTTTACGGATTAAAAAAAAATCTGAAATATTTCCTGAGGGGAAAACTCCATATTATGGCTTTAATGCTTTTACACACAACAAAACATGTGGAAACTGATTTTTAGTACATCTAAAGTATATCTATTGTAGAAGGAACCATGCTATTGAAGCAGCATAAAGCAAATTATTATTATTTATCTCTGAAATATAATGTTTCACTTTGTGTTTTCATTATATTTTAAGGCTGAGTTTGTGGGACCTCTCAGAGGGAAGTGTTGACGCCGTGTCATCGTTAATCAGCTCCCAGCGCTCCGGACTGAGATGGCTGGACCTGAGTAACACCAACCTGAAAGATCATGGAATCCAGCTAGTGTCTGTCGGACTACGGAGTCCACACTGTAAACTGGAATGTCTCAGGTAAGGAGGCTTTTCACGCTCGAGAATAGTTGAAACGTAAACAGATTAGAACTCCAAATAAAGAGTATGATATGTTCTCGGTTCATTTTCATAGTGGTCCATATTGGAAGTAAAATGTCATCTTTTGGATGAAATTTAGATGAAATTGAAAAAAAAAAAAGAGTGCTGCAAAAATTAGAAAAGATTAGATTTGACCAAGTTTAAAGCTCAGCCTGTGTAACGTAACGCCCGGAACACACCAGACGTGGAAGTGTCGCGAAGCGCTGCGGAACGAGGAGCGCTTCTAATCTTGTTAACCCACGCGCTCGGTCACATCAGCTGCAAAGTGCTGCGAAGGCTCGCGCCGTGCAGCGATCGTTTTGGCGTGAGCTCTGATATTTTCGTGAGCCGCATCAATTCTGGCAGGAAGTCAAACCAAAGCAGAAGAGGCAGGCCGGTAAGTTTAACAAAAAAAAAAAAAACTTTCAAAATAAAACACAGCAAGTGATAAATGTGATTGTTTTTGTGCACCTGAACAGCAGTTCACCGCTCCCCACGAAGGTGGGTCAAATGCAGAGATTAATTTCACCTGTGTGTGATGACTAACGGGACTTTAACTTTCAGTGAGAAAATCATAACCATCAGATTGGCCATTCAATCCACCTTGCCAACAAACACAACCAGACCACAGCTACAGCTACACAGCAAGAATCTGGCTAGAATGCCAGCTTTCAGTGTGATTAGTGCTAAAACACTGGAGGACATAGTTAAGACCTTAAAGTCATCTAACTGCTGTCTGGACAACACATTCTCACACCCAACGTAGGGATGGGTACCTTTGGCATTTGAATCGATTCGGTACTAATTCCCGGTACCTAGGAATCGATACCGGTACTTAACGGTACCAATTTTAGATACTTTTGAGTGTTTAATATTTTAATTGTCTTTTATAATTAAATATATATTTTTCTCAATGTATAACCATATTTGATAAATATCACGATAAATAACATACAACTGTTTGTATTTTAACATCGTCCTTGTAGTTTTATAAGCTGATAATTAAACTGAAGCAAACATCTTTACTGTGAACTAAATTTAGTGTGTATCTTCATTCCTTTTACCGTCCTTTTTCATTTGATTTTTCCTACTGGGAAGTTAGAATTTCCGAGGAGAAAGCGAACGCACCATTAGCTGATAACAATGGTGGCAATGGAAGCTAATTTATCAAGTTTTGGGGTAAGTGTCTAACCCAAGACATACAGAATCAGACTCGGAGGCGAGGTAAAAGGTAAAACAATAATCTTTATTAAATGAGGAGGAGAATTGAGGGCGCACTGGCGATCCAGCGGAAGGTGAAAACAGGAAGCGGCAACTAGAGGAAACCAGAGGTGAGTACTGGGAATTGTAGTCCAGAGTGAATGTTTGTAGGCAGGACTTACGATGCGGAAGTTCAGGATGAATGTGGAGGGGAGATGAGCCGGGGTGATATCCAGAGGAGAATTGTCTTTAGTCCAAGTGGGTGAGTGGAATGGAGGAAGATGATGATTACGAGGAAACTGAGCGAGAGCGTGATCACGGTGGAGAGCGGGATGGCAGAGCGGAGTTAGGAATCCAGGCAGCGAACCGGTGAATAATCCTTTCTCTCCAAGACGGGAGAGGATCCAAAGGTGAAGCAAGCCTGAGGGTAAGTATCCAAGAAACGAGTTCAAGTTAAAACGAGTTCAAAAATCTTACAAAGTCAAAAACGAGGTTCAAAAGTTACGAAGGGCTAGAGACTACCAGTCAGTAGTTAATCATCCGGCGTTGAGTCAGGATAACTGTCCTCCTTTTAAAGCCACCCCGCTGGTCAGGCGGATGAGGATCAGCTCCTGCAGGCAAAACTCAAAGATGGTGAATGACGGGCAGAGTACTCACCCCGGCTCATGACAGTTTGGTTGTATTGTATTCTAAAATCCCTTCATTGGCTGCCCATCACTTTCAGGGTCCAATATAAAACATGGTCTTGCCCCCGTGTACCTATCTGATCTTCTTGCGATTTATACTCCCGGTCGCACACTCAGGTCCTCCAGCCTGTTACTCCTCGAGGTACCAAAGGCGTGTTATAAATCATGCGGACAAAGAGCTTTCTCTGTTGCCGGTCCTAAACTGTGGAACGAACTTCCAGCCGCAGTTCGACTGGCATCCTCTTGGCAGTTTTTAAGTCTAGACTAAAGAGACACTATTTTACCCTTGCTTTTAACAGTTAGCTGTTATTTTGGTTTTTACTACTCTTATTTTATCATCCATTGTAAGGTTTTTATCTGAACTTTTTTTATTGGCTTGTTTCTTATTTGTTGACTGTATTTTATTGCTCTGTTTTATGCTTTTATCTCTGTTATTGTGCGACTGTTCAGCACTTTGGTCGGCTGTATGGCTGTGTTTTTAAAGTGCTATATAAATAAAGGTGGTATGGTATGGTGTTGTAATGTGAACAGCCAAATAAAAATCTCCTGTTTGGCGAACAGTGAATTTTGGGATATGGTGGGCCATCAAGTATTCACCAGACTCCTTGAAATTTGGGGAAGTTGATCACAGATTTGGTTCACTGCAGAAGGGGACCCACTTTCAGATTCCCAAACCAGTTTTCCCCAAACCCTATTGCTTGTCGACCCTATGATGGAAATTGGAGTGCCAAGTTGGCACTAGTGATGGGAATTCCGGCTCTTTTTAGAGAGCTGGTTCTTTCGGCTCCCAAGTGGCTCCTCAGATTTTCTGTTGCGTAGAGGACATTTATGTCCAAAATAATGCAAAACTATAAATAAAATGATTTACTAATGTAAAAAAAAGCAATATATCAAATATTTTTCATTTCTATGGATTTAATAACTGAACACTTTAAGAAATCTCCACTTTCCGACTTCTGCCGCTCATTTTCTCACCGTCTTCGTCGCACTCTCCTCTCTCTCGCTCGCCTTTTTCCTCCTCCTCATTCCCTCTCGTCTCCCTCCACCCGCATGTGCTCTGCTGTGTGTCTGAGTCTGATCCTGCCTCTTCCCCGCCCCTACTGCTCTGCGTGTGGACAGTCTGGACACGCAGTTACACATGTTGACCAATCGCCTGTAGCTTTCACCAAAGCAAGAGGGGAGGGGGGAGGGGACGGCTCCCAATGACGAGCCGGCTCCCGTCGTTCACTTCAAAGAGCCGGCTCTTACAGCCGGTTCTTTCGCGACCAACACATCACTAGTTGGCACATAACCAATCTACAAGTACGTTCATCGGTCTGCCCATTTCACTCAGTGACTTGAACTAACTTTTTTAATGTATGCTTGTAATAAAACTACCAAAGAGTTAAATATTTATTTCTTTTGAATTGACAACATTTTACAGAATAAGCAAGTTATCAAATGGCTATTTCCCTGGCTGATTGAATTCTGGACCAAATAGAAACACGAAGCGAGGGATTTTTCCCTGAATATTTGACACCAACCAATTTTAGTTTCTTTCTGGTTCTTTCATACTTGTTGTCCTGTATGTTGTTGTTGTTCATCCTGTGTGTTATTTTGTGTGTCTGCAGCCTGTCAGGTTGTCTGATCACAGAGGAAGGCTGTGCTTCTCTGGCCTCGGCTCTGAGCTCCAACTCCTCCCATCTGAGAGAGCTGGACCTGAGCTACAATCATCCAGGAGACTCAGGAGTGAAGCTGCTGTCAGCTGGACTGAAGGATCCACACTGGAGACTGGACACTCTCAGGTATGGAGACACCTGCTGCACACACATAATGTCTGATAGAAGAGGAAGAACTCTGATCTTCCCTCAGCTCTGTCTTTCTGCTCCATGCTGGATATGAGGAGTAAACCAACCTCACATCTTAACTCTCTCAGGCTCAAAATAAGTTTGGATAAAAGGACGAACAACAAAGTCCTTCAGGGGTACTTCTGAGTTTAAAAATGCTCATGAAATACGTGTGTGGAGTAACCAGGTAGGTAGGTTTCAACTAGGGATGAGCCGGATACTCGTTTCAGACGAGTATCTGATACGGATAAAGCATTTTTAACGAATACGAGCATGAAACGAGTACAACTCGTAAATATCTGTAATCGTGCTGAAGGGAAATCCTCATTGGGTAACTGACTGTCTTCACGCTCTGTGATTGGCCAGTCACATAGAGCACCCGCCCCTCCCTACACACAAAACTCTGCAGCCATGAGCTCGGTCCGTCCGGCCCATCCACGCACACACACACAAACACACACAGAGACCGTAACGGATCTCTCTGTGCTTGCTTCACCTCAGCTCGCCTCTTTTTCGGTTGAATATTTAAAGTAACTTTTGTCGTAACTTACGTGGTGCATTTGACAAGACAGAGCCGATGTGCTGTGTCAGTCACTGCCTCCGCTCCGGTTGGGTATTTTTTTTACATTTTTCTCTCTCTCTCTCTCTCTCTCTCTCTCTCTCTCTCTCTCTCTCTCTCTCTCTCTCTCTCTCTCTCTCTCTCTCTCTTCTCTCTCTCTCTCTTTCTCTTTCTCTTTCTCTTTCTCTTTCTCTTTCTCTTTCTCTTTCTCTTTCTCTTTCTCTCTCTCTCTCTCTCACTCTCTCACTCTCTCACTCTCTCACTCTCTCACTCTCTCACACTCAATCACTCAATCACTCAATCACTCTCTCACACTCACTCACTCACTCACTCACTCACTCACTCACTCACTCACTCACACCTTAATCAACATTGTTTTGTTTAACTGTGTGTGGGAAAAATGCCAAGAACATTGAGAAAAAATCTGTTTAATCAAATTAAAATAAAATGGTTCTAGTATTTCATATTTCCTAGTTCCTACTGCATGAGTTCAGATGCATTAATTCATGCACTTAAATATTAATGTTCTGATTTTATTGAAAAACTTGTTCTGTAATAGTTCCTTTACTATTGTGATCAAAAATATTTAATCTCAATTTCGAGGCTGCTCATAAACAACACATAGCAACTTCTGATCGATCCATATCAATTTCAGATTTAAAATAATGTATTGATGTAAACCACACCCACTGCTGGTTAGACCACGCCCACTTCCGTGTTATGCCACGCCCACTCCAAGTACAGATACAGATAGTGGTGTACTCGCTCATCCCTAGTTTTAACGTTGCAAATCTGCAACGCCTGCCTCCAGAGGATTAAAGCAGATATTCACCACAGCTTAGAAAAGGAATGATTTGAAGGTATGATTCAACACCAGTGTAGAACAATGTGTGTGAGAACCATGTCATGTCCATGTTTACATGCTGAAAGAGACTGAAGCTTGATTTATGCTTGACGCGTCCGTGAGGTTCGCACGGCACCGTGCGGCAAAATTGCGTCATTTTAACAACCACGCCCCTCCACCGTGCCTCCGCATGGCCCAAAATTTCCGCACCGCGCACCTAGGAAGTTTTCTAACCACGCGGACGCGGAAAAACATGGCGGACTGGAAAAAACTAGTATGGCAGAGGTTGGTAAATACAGACATTTGTATGATTCGGCTCTCAGAGATCACCGTGATCAACATGTTGTTAATAATTCTTGGAGAGAAATAGCTCGCACTGTCGGAAAAGACGAGGACGCTGTTAAAAAATGCTGGAATGCCATGTTGTAAACAGTCATTTTTACTTCTACTATGGTGTAGTGTTGGATGCATGCCATAGAGCTCCATGCTGCCCCCTACAGTTTGGGAGAATATTGGCTCCCCGCAGAGACAAGCCGCACGAACCCTAAACGCTGCAAGTTGTGAAGCGCGTTCCATCCGCGAGCTGCATCACCAAGCGGAAAGTAAATGCGTCAAGCATAAACCAAGTTTGATGGCCTGACCCCCCCCCCCCCCCTCTTCCTTTCAGGGTGGAGCCTGCTGGAGTCCGATGGTTGACACCAGGTCTGAGGAAGTGTAAGTGTGTTTGGATTTGATTCATGCAACCAACTTCTCTCTGTCACATCACTCATTCATGAGTCATCATCAAAGCGTCAATAAATGATCAATAACTGTAGCTGGATTGTGTTTGTTCTCTCCATCAGATTCCTGTCAGCTCTCCATCGACACAAACACAGTAACCAGAAAACTCAAACTGTCTGACAACAACAGGAAGGTGACCCGTGTGGAGGAGGCTCAGCCATATCCTGATCATCCAGACAGATTCGACATCTGGTCCCAGCTGCTGTGTAGAACTGGTCTGAAGGGTCGCTGTTACTGGGAGGTCGAGTGGAAAGGAGAAGTTCGTATATCAGTGAGTTACATAGGAATCAGGAGAAAAGGAGGTAGTGAAGACTGTGTGTTTGGAAACAATGATCAGTCCTGGAGTCTGAGCTGCTCTGATGATGGTCATTATTATGTTTGTCACAATAATATTAAAACACCCGTCTCCTCCTCCTCCTCTGTTTCTAACAGAGTAGCAGTCTATTTGGACTGTCCTGCTGGCATTCTGTCCTTCTACAGTATCTCCTCCGACTCACTGATCCACCTCCACACCTTTAAAACTACATTCACTCAACCTCTTTATCCTGGATTTAAATGCTGCTGCGGTTCTTCAGTATTTCTGGGTTGAGTTTGAGTCTCCCCCTCTCAGAAAAACACTCAAGGCGTGAAGAAACGCTGGTATAGGTTAAGGCTAGGCGATATTGCCCAAAAGGGATGTAACAGACATGAAAATCCTTCACCTTTTCGCAAAATTTGCCTTTTTGAATCCAAAATGGATCAACTACGGGATTCATGCAGATCCGATAAGAAAATATTGGGGGGGGGGGTACAGCGAGGCTGGCTTTTACAGTTTAACCAGTTTCAGTGTTATCCACTGGGGGAAATATTCAAGAGGATTTTTAAGACTCCCATGACATCAGCAACAGTTGAAGAAAATAAATAAATAAAATAGGGCCGGGACTTTAACGCGTTAATTATGATTAATTAATTAGAAAAAAAGTTGTGTTAAAAAATTAATACATTTTATCACAGCTTGCATTTCGAGAAAGGCGGAACCTTTGTTATTGCATGATTTCCTCGTAGACCGAATATCACTGACGCACACAACAATGCACAGTGCTAATGGCTACTAAAACGGAATAAAAACAGAAAGAAGTTGCCTTGCTTGGACTGATGCAGGATTTAGGAAACCCGTCCGCCTCTTTTCTTAACTTGGAAAAAAAACCTTCCAAACAACAACGGAGTCCGTGTCGCGGACATTTTTCAGTGATCGTCTCAGCTGCGGCTGCCCGGTGGCACCGGAAACTTTACCAAAGTTGCGGTAAGCTATATTTTTAACATTTACGTAACATCTGAGCAGCGCTGAAAGCACCAGACAGAATGATTCTGTGCCCTAACAGTAGTATATGAAAGTAGTCAGACAAACGAGAGGCACCTGGCTGCCGCTGGGAGAATGCTCCGTGTTCTCACTTCTCTGTAAACAATCACAAACAACGTGTCTTAAAGTTGAAAACAGAAGTTTAAGTTAAAACAGAAACACTCTAAAAATGCGATTAATTTAGATTAATTAATTACATAAAACAGAAACACTCTAAAAATGCGATTAATTTAGATTAATTAATTACAAAAAACAGAAACACTCTAAAAATGCGATTAATTTAGATTAATTACAAAAAACAGAAACACTCTAAAAATGCGATTAATTTAGATTAATTAATTACAAAAAACAGAAACACTTTAAAAATGCGATTAATTAAATTAATTAATAACAAAGCCTCTAATTAATTAGATTAAATATTTTTAATCGAGTCACGGCCCTAAAATAAATCCAACGCAACCGGTGACACACAAGTGCATCTCGTCTGGAGGTCTTTCCCGTGTAGACCTCCAGATGGCTTTTCCCCGCTTGTTTGATCCAAGCCCGAATGGAGTAAGCCCAACAAGTCAGATCGGACTCGGGTTGATTAATAACTTGAGCGTGATGAGTCACGCTAGGACAGCAAAGATAGAGAGAGGAGACGAGGGCGCACCACAAATGAAACACAGTGAAAGCGTCATCGTTCATCCATGGTGCTAAAGAAGAACTGAAATGTAGACTATGTTGTCTCCAGTGAGCCGGTTCTGGGCTTAAAGTCCATCGGGTCACTCCTCACCTTTTTCACCCTTGACCTCGTTTTCATGTCTGATGTCATCAAAGGATTTATCTGAATTCTGATACACAATTTCTATCTTCTCACATTATTGTTCAGCCGCTTTCTCCACACAAACAGGAAAAGCAAAACTGTAATCCGAGGCGAACGGACTCGCTGAAAAACGAACGTTCGCTCAAAACATGAAGAACGTTGAAGCTGAGTGCTAATTTTAGGTCAGCGATTTTTATGAAGTTTTGTCAAGAGTTCAAGGCGTAAGACTGCATGTGATGTTTACAGTCAAAGATGGAGAAGTTGACATCTGCCGACTATAGAAATCCTCTGCTTGTATTTTTATTATATATAAACTTTAACAAGTCATCTTGTGTCTTTAAAACTTGAGATATTGTCCAGTCATGATGTCGGAGCATCCCTAGTTCAGTTTGTACACGTCCGTTTTCAGGAACACGTTTTCAGATTCTTGGATTCAAATCTGTTTCTTACTGAAACTCTTCTAAACTATTCCTTATCGAGTCACAAAGTTGTTTTATGAGAAATGGAATAAATGTTATTTTTACTGCTCAGTTTTCCTTGCAGAATCGTGCAAAGTGTTACAAACCTATTGTCCAAGTTCAGATATGTTCTGAGGAAGACTAGTTCATTTTATCACATGCATGATTATTATTACTGCATCACAGTATACGTTTACCATGGGTCGGTTGTACCTTTATGTATTATTATTATTATTATTATCTAGTATCGTTTCATTATTGGACATTATTCATCACATTTTAAAGTATTTACTCCTGTGTTTGGCTGTTGTCATTTTACTGTTATTATTTAACAAAATGTTAAAAAGTAAAAGTGTTTATTTAATCAGGGCCTTCCCAAGAATGAACACGGAGTCAAAGCATTGCACTGTAACTTTCTGTTTAGTATTATTTCCTCTAGGCATTGAAAAATCCTAAAGTAATTAAGTTGATGCAATTTAAAAATATGGTATTCTGCAATAATGTTAGAGAATGCATTTGAGAATAAAAAGTTCTCTGTATTAAGTTAGAGGTTGAAGTTCGTCGTGGGCTGATCCACACCCCTTAGAGCAGGGGTGTCCAATCCTGGTCCTGGAGGGCCGGTATCCAGCAGGTTTTGTGGATTCTCTGCTCCAACACACTTGAGTCAGTGGTTGAATCACCTGTGCAGCAGTTCGTCAGGCTCTACAGAAGCCTGTTAATCACCTGTTGATTGAATTCAGGTGTGTTGAAGAAGGGTTCAAACTAAAACCTGCTGGACCAGGATTGGAAACCCCCTGGCCTAGAAGGTTGTTCAGGTGGTGCAATGCAGATAGGGGTGGGCGAAATAGCCTAAAACCTATATTGCGATATAATTTGAAAAATGTGCGGTAACGGTATATATTGCAATATACGACTTTCTTTTGTATATTTGTCAAAAATGACTGTTTCTAAACATACTCACATACCAGATACATTACAGCAGCAGAATAAACACTTCAAACAGTATAAAATGCCATTTTAAGAACATTTATTAATTTTCTTGCTTTACTTGCTCGCGGACTTTCTCGTACAGTTTTGGCATCTCTGTTTGGCTGAAGTGTTTGCGTCTCGGTACCTCGTAACGCGGATCGAGTGTCTTAGTCATGTCCCGAAAGCCGCTTTTCTCCACTGTAAGAAACGGCACCATGTCCTTACACGGGTACGTGGTAATGGCATTTGTGATATCAATCCACCGATGATTATTTCTCTCAAACTGAGTGCCTTTAGCAAATGCTTGTAAAATGTCTGCTGGTGTGTAGGACCACCTTTTTTCTTACCGCTCGATTGACTGGGGGTTTGTTGAGGACGCAGTGTTTGGCTTTCTTCGTATTCCACAACGTGCTTCGTTTTGAGGTGGTTAAACAAATGAGATGTATTCCCTCTATTCGCTAATACTTTGTTCCGGTATACTTTGCAGATTATATTGTTCTGCTCCACATCCGACTCCTTAAAGCCAAACCAAGTCCAAATGACCGATGTTGCACCGGTCTTCTTTACGAGAACCTCCTCCACCACAGGCTCCATGCTTTCAGCCTCAACAGACGCCGCTTGATGATGTCATCAACATGCGCTACCGCGATAGGCCGATATAGTCAAAATCTCTACCATTGGCCAAATTAATATCATTTCTACCGTATACCGTTTATACCGCCCACCCCTAAATGCAGATGTTGTTTAGCAATATTTTTTGTTGTGTTTTATTTGTTTTAACATCCAGTAAAATGATTAAACATTCATACTAGTTACAGTAGAAACGTCCCTTTGCTAGAATCCAAAAAGAGTTTGTTGTTGAGAAATCAGTTCCTTAAAATGACCCAAAGCACATCCTGGATTAAAAAAAACCACACGACATTTCTGCGTTTATGACTGGGTCATTTTCAGCAGTGTTCACTTCTCCATGTCTGTGAGGATGGATTTTGCGAGATGTTCACTGTTGGTGCGTGCTTTTGCTTCATGTTGTAATCCTGTTACAAAGTGTGTATTAAAGTTTCTACATAAATGAAGCACAATGAGTTGAATTATTTTTGGGATTTATTTGCTCATGCTTACAACTGCAACACTCACACTCCAGTCTTTATTCCCACAGAGAGCCCTTAAAACTCACCTCATTCTGCCAAGAGTTTGTTTTTAAATTTCAGTAAAAGTTGATGTTCTTGTCCCACGTTGGACCCTGTAATACCATCTGAGCCTGGTTTAAACTAAGGATGCGCCAATATTTTTTTTAGTCAATACCAACAGTACTGTCACTGTTATATCTTATAACCGATATAACACACACACACACATATATATA